TTTTAAAGGCCGGAGTTTCAATCAAAACACCCCCGGGCCCAAACACACACCTATTTCCCTTTTTCAAGAAGACGTATACGTCACTGTGCGGACGACCAATTAAGGCCTCTTAAAATTGTTGCCGCTCTCTGTATAATACTCCTCTGATTTAAAATATAAATAATTTAATATGTTTAAAAATATCTTCTTATTTTATTTTTTATATTTATTAATTTATATTTTTACATAAATTTATCTTACTCATCATAAAGTGTATTGGTAACTAAAATTAAAAATAAAAAATATATATTTTTATGAGAATGAAAATTTATTAAATTTTTTAAAAAAGATTTGTATTTTAAACTGAAATGAGCACATGTTTCGATCTTAAATATGCAATCACAAGCAATCGTTTTAATTGGATTTGGGCTTCGGAGAACACACCATTACTCCAGCAAGAAGGTTCGGCCCCCCTATCCTTTTCACCTTGCTCTCCCTACATGTTATTTAAAATAAATAAGGTGTTTGATGTGACATCATGAATTTTGTTAATATTAATTCCTTTATATATACACTAAATTAATTTTTCACAGAAAAGACAAGAACAGAATATCAATAAATGTTAATGATGGTTAAAATTAAAATAAGGGGACGACCAGGGGATGTGGATTTAGTGGTCTTTATGGAAGAAGTACCTCATGTACACTTCTTATTTTATCATTAAATTATTAATTTATCATACAATTTCTTCTCACATTTTACATTCGATCGTTTTATTGGGAAAAAAGAAGAAGAAGAAGAAGCACGTAATACGCTTTTACGGTGGTAAAGAGAGGCTGAGTTATAGTTAGTGGGTTGAAACATGGGTCGGGCACAGCTTGGGTCTGTTCGCATCCATTCCATGGGCGCTCCCAAAACCCGAGAACTAGCTACATAAAACGTGAAGGATACGTACGGACGAAACAAACAATTGAATGGCGATGAAAGTCCTGCCTCATACCAGCGTGGTGGTTGCTTTGCGTGCTTGCAACGAATATAATGGCCGTTAAATTGGGGTTTGGCATCCCAAAGCGACACGTTACCCAAAAGCCAAGCCATTCAATCCCTCAACGTCGCCAATCCCAAACCAAACACCTTGCCTTCTCCCCCCACCTCAAACTTTGCCATTTAAACCCCACCTTCTCATTTATTTATTTTAAAAAATGTTTGACGTTAAAACTTTTCTGGTCAGCTGGTGGGCTTACTTTATTTTTATCTATATATATATATATATATTGACAGTTAATCTAAGTTGCCATTTTGTACTCTAATGATAAAATACCTTCACTCGTCTTGTTCCCGTGATCCAAAGTTTCATTTAATTTGTTCAACTATTCTTATTAAGCGGAGGGGGAACATAATCTGGAATATCCTTCAACTAGTGCGTGCTCATGAAGTAAAATACAAGTGAATTAATTTAGGGACTTTAATTTGGAGATCGGTTGAAAATCGACAAGCAATTTTGATACCGATACACCAGAGATCCCATCAATTTCCATCGCTGCTGCATCACAAGGAGAGAATGAGAGATGAAGGTTTTCAATGTATTATCAGTCAAGGAACCTTCTTTAATGCTGTCAACACGCCTAGTTTCTCATGATCATTTACTGCATGTTTTGAGTTTTGACACACAGGGAAAAAAAGAAAGTACAATGTACTTAAAAAAAAAAGGATAAGTGTTTTTTTATTTTGTTTTGAAAAAAGGTCTTCCTATCTACTAAACATATATGGTCAGAATCTCTAGTAAATTCAACCATGCATTCTATATACATGCGCGCTCTTCTTGGAGAATAAGAACCCAAAAAAAAAAAAAAACAAGGGGGGATCGATATGATGCTTGGAGTGAACGGTTTTGTGGGGGTGAAATGGACATGAGATGTCGGAGCAGAGTGAGAGAATTTAAAGAAGTGAATCTTCAAACAGTGCCGTGTGCCATGCATATTAAAAGAGTGCTTCATTGGAATGATCTCATTTAATGTGTCAAAGTGGAGCCATTGGGGAATTTTCATTTAATGTGATTTCCTTTTTTGTTTTTTAAGATTTACTTCGTCACATTGATTATCTGGTTATTCTAATCTTTTTTTTTAAAAAAAAATCTGAAATCTGGTTATACTAATCAGTATAGGCTGATTTTGCATTCCGCATAATTTTCCTATCAAACTCAGTATGATTTATGGAATAATAAATTTTGGTTGGCAAAAATATAATAAAATAAAATAATAGTAAGATTTATTCTTATATAATTATTTGATATTCAGGTATAATATAATTAGGTCCAATTTATAATGATAGTCTCTTCGAGGTGATTTTTTTTTTTTTGCCATTTATAGATTCAAATCTTGAATGATATTTAAAAAGAACTGCTATTGACAATTTAGTACGAGTTTGACTAGAAATCCTTAGGACAAGACTTATTTAAGACAAATTCTTGAAATATGACATGATGAGGTTTTAAACAAAGAAAGTATGATAAGAAATGCAGTGAGATCAACAAGAAACGAGCTATAAAGACAAAACCGGAAAAGAAGACAAGCACTGGCATTAAATTGAAGTGGGCAAATGGAAGGTCGCTAGCACAGATTAATTAATCATGGTCCAGAAAACGAAGGCTGCAGATTTTGGTTTTTTTTTAAAAAAAAAAAATTGGATGGATGGAGCGATTGACAATCTTGACAGATCAAATATGGCCTTTGAAGAGCAATGGTTTCTAAGTTGGTTGCAGGTCGCATTTGTGTGGAAGGCCATCCTTCAATTACGTTAATCTCTATGCCCCTTCCTTGCATGTGAGGCGTGGGCCATTTTCAGACCCACCACTGCGTTTACCTATCTTTCTTCATTTAACATTCGCCATTTTTATATCAAATGGCAATAACAAAGTTAATAACTGCTCCTCCGGTCTTCTTTATCAATTATTTTTACTAATATCATCAATGCTAATGTAAAAAAAAAAAAATATATATATATATATATATATAATAAGAGTGTGTAAAACTTTATATATATCCTCATATAACAAATTTAAAAAGTAATATCACATTACCTTTTCTCTCTTATAAAGAATAAATTTGAAAATGCCTTTTAAATATTATTTAAAAAGTCGCACCGTGACTTATAAATGGAACTAAATATACGTTCTAAAATATGCCTTATAAGTGGGGCCGGAGGGAGTACTATGTAAAAGAAAATCAAAATTCAAGTACCTCATTTTATTATATTCGATTCTTTATTATTAAGATAGGTTCAAAGTTTTTCCCTAGAGGCAGATATTAGGCTGTGCAGAAGTCCTTTAATCCTATTCAACCTAGTTTAACTCGAGAAGGTATGACCCTGTTTGGTCCTGTTAAAAACTGATTATTTAAGACTAAAAAGACTAAAAAGATCAAACTATTTTTTTGGGTTGAATTGGACAAGAGACTGAACATCTAGACTATTTGATCTAGTCTGGTCCTATCAAATTTATTTAGTCTGATTATAATTAATTTACTAATTATTCATAATAATAAGTTAAGATTAATCACAGTTGCACACTTAGACTAATAATTTAATAATCCATATCACTTGGACTGTACCTGAACTATTTTTTCTTGTTGTTGTATTATGGATTTATTAAAATTTAAAGTGTTGTTATTATTTTAATTGAGTTTATTATGTTAAAATGCATTATTTTTGCTCATAGAGAAACAAAAAGCTAAATAAGTATTAAACTAACAGGATTAGTCTTCCAATCCTATAAACTAAGTCTGGTTTTATTAATCTTCCAAATTACCACTGAACCAGACTAGACTATAAGGTATCTAATCCAATTATTTTTATAAAAGAGATCAAACTTTAAGTTAGCAAAAATTCAATCTCGTTCAATCTTTTCAATCTCGTTCAATCTTTTATGTAGCGCTAAATATTAGAGTTGGTTATTGTATCAATTTAGATTGCACGATTCTATGGCCCAAGCCACGAACAAGACACCGATGTCCTTGGCGCCACTTTAATTGCGCATTATGTAGAATAAGGGGATCAAATGTGCAATCCTTAATTTAAATTTCCAGCAACCAGAGAGCCAGCTAGTTGAGATAGGTTTTAGCTATGAAATATACACATTTCAACAATACAAATAAATAATCTATAAATTTTGTCCAAAATTTGAAATCTGACTCTGCTGTAATAAGTCACATGGCTCTGACTAAAAAAATAAATTAAAACGCCCGAACTATCAAAACTATTGAACATTAATAAGCGATAATTATTTGAGATCATTTCATATTTAATTTTAAATTACCCTACTTTTAACATGAATTTTTGTTAAGTTAAAACACAAGAAAAATCGAGTATCGCTTTAAAAAAAAAAGAAAGAAAGAGAGAAATGCACGGCAAAGACATGCCTGAAACACAGTCGTTTTTCCAAAACAAGCAGTGTTTGCCTGTCCTCCGGGCTTCGGGTCCACTTATATTTTGTACAGTGGTCAATGCACGAGCTTCTTGAAGCCCACTAGAAGGCCCATAAGACAAGTGTTTGTTCTTCTTGAATAAATGGGTAATATTGGCCTTTCCCTCAAGTCCACTTATATTTTGTCCAACGGTCAGTACTTGGGCTTCAAGAAGCGCAGTAGAAAGACCATATAAAATTAATATAAATTTGGATCTCTCTCTACATGGTTGGGAACTTTCTGGCGATAGGCCCACAATGAAAACGAAAAGTTTTAGCCACCCCTTGAATTGAAATGATTGAGATGGAGATGGAAGACAATTTTAGGTAAGAGTCTTAATCAGTCCAAGTCATGATAAATTGTTTGCTCTGGATAAAAAAATGTAATTTAAATATAAATTATACTACAATTAAATTCCCTTGGCCTTTGAAGAATATATATATATATATATATATATTTGGTGAGTGTCAGTGAAGAGTATCTGGGGAGTCAAAAGATGACGTAACAAGTCTAAAATAAAAATAAATGGTTAAGTTTATGATATGACCACCGTTGTCTACCAAGGGAGAGCGAGTGGCTTTACGCGTTTAGGAGTCGCGGTTGGTTGTGTGGAATCTTCCCTCTCGCTGTACCAAATTGTTGCGTTCTGTTTCGTGCTCCCTCGCACCCTGTCTTCATAGCTCTTGCACTCTCAGCCTTTCTGGCCATCATTCGCCTTCCTTCGTTTTTCGTTATTATATTTTCCTATACGCCTCCTTTTTTACTTGGGCTCCGGAAGCCTTTTCGCTTAGATGTTTGCTTCATCTATTTTCTCGGTATTTCCTTCGTATCTGGCCGATGTTCTTCTTACTTCTCCTTGATTCTCTTCGTTCCTGGTTCGTTTTGATTTGTGAACTTGCTTGGCTCGGTTTTCACTCTTAATTCTTTTTATGCTTTTGTACTTGTTTTCGCCCAAGGTTATCTATTTTCATGTCTTCTTGATCGTGTTTTGGCTGGTTTCGAAGTTTTTACCGTGATTGACTGTTTTCCGCGTAATCAAGAGAATTGATTGCTTTTTTTTTTTTGGAAATTATCTCAAGTGTTTGAAAGCACTATTTTGTTGTTATCGTTATTCATTTGAATTAAAAATGCCATCCATCAAGTAACTCGTGTTCGTTCTTTGTTGGATTAATTCCTGATCGATCATCAAGTTATAGTTGGTTGATTCGCTTAATCTTCATATGTTTCCTGCATGAAGCCTTCTTGTTGAGTTGAATCCTAACGAGCACAAACATATGGTAATCTCTGTGACATGCACCGAACAAATTTTAGGCGAATACCTTATTAAAGGGGAAAAAGTTCTTTAAGATATGTTTCCTCCAATCTAAAAACTAAAATAATGATAAGCTGAGATTTTTAGCTTTGAGAGTCATTCGTATGAGTCTCTGGTTTCTTTTCTCCTGTATTGACTTGGAGGCTTTCATCACTTGTTAGCTCTTGGTATCAGCGTATATTTATGGAATATTTGTTAATTTTGGCACTGACTGGAATTTGAACGTGGATCCTTTAGCCCCTGCAGAACACTCAAGTGATTGGGTCAACGCTGATTGGTTTCTACACCCAGTGATATTTACCGTGACTAGCGAAAGCTGCTTATTTATATTTCCCCTTTGTGTCGCCCCGTTGAATTTGGTGCTGTAATTCTTTAGCATCTGTGGAAGAAATTGAGTTATCATATATAATGGTTCTTAATAACAAACTGGGAATGTTTCCTTTTCAGATAAGACATCAACGTGCTATCTCTATGCCTTCTGTGTGATCTTGGGAGTTGGTGCAACTTCGCTTGATATTTAGCAGTAAATGCAACATCCTCTGAGCTGATAACAGAATGCATTTATATCATCATCCTTTTGATTTGGACAGCCAGAAGGTGAGGCTTGCATTGGAAGAGAAAGGCATTGATTATACGTCTCACCATGCCAATCCCATTACAGGCAAGAATTTGGATGCCTCATTCTTCCAGATGAATCCCAGTGGGAGGCTACCTGTTTTCCAAAATGGTTCCCACATCCTTTACGAGACTATCGATATAATCAAGTATGCTCTTTCTTCTCACTTTTATCATATTCTTTTATCCCTGACTTGAATTAGATTTATTGAAAGGACTTTATTTTAAGAGCTATTTGGTATCTGAAATTTTAGAAACGAAATAATTTAAAATTTTATTGCTAAAAGATATCTATATTCTACTGTCAAGATATTCATTCATCTTGACTCGAGTTGTGGCAGCATACACTCATCATTTCTTCATAAAATTTATTCATTGGACCCTCTATTCGCCTAGTGTGAATAAGACATTAAATTTGCATTTGCTTATGAATGCATCTATAACAAGAAAAATGTCTAAAATGTCGTTGGGTTTTCAGGTACATAGAAAGAATTGCTAAGGTTTCCTCTGGCGCTGAGCATATGAGTGTCAGTGGCGGGGAAGTTGTTGAATGGATGAGAAAGATACAAGAGTGGGATCCCAAGTTTTTCACGCTCTTTCATATACCAGATAAATATCGCATCTATAGCTCCAAGTTTATAAGGCGGGTGGTGATTGCTCGAATGTCTGAATCCCCGGAGCTGGCTGGAGCTTACCACAGGAAGTTGAGAGAAGCTTATCAGACTGAAGAAAAGTTAAAAGACCCTGATGTGTTGCGGAGGAGCAAGGACCACTTGGTTATGCTTCTTGATGAAGTGGAGAGGCAACTAAGTGAAACGCCTTACTTAGCAGGTCAAGATTTCACCATGGCCGATGTGATGCTCATTCCTGTATTGGCTCGCTTAATGCTCTTGGATTTAGAACATGAGTACATAGCTGACAGGCCAAACATTGCCGAGTACTGGCTGTTGGTTCAGCAGAGGCCTAGCTATAAAAAAGTGATTAGCAAGTATTTTGATGGTTGGAGAAAGCACAAAATGTTGTTGAAAACGTGGTGCTGTGTTCGCATTAGAAGCTGGCTAAAGAAATATTAGTGAATACACATATATGACTCGGTTGGGCGACTAAATGAATAGCCTTTTGTATTTTTTAAGAAAAAGGAGCATTCACAATATACTTTTTTTGCCTCATACGTGAAAGTGACTAGTCTACCCTGGAAAAAGACAAGTCGTTTCGCAGGAAAAAGAAAAGGTGACTTGTTTTTTGGATTTGTTCCAGAATGAGATGAGAGAGGAACTAAAGGAATTGAGGTCAGGCTACTGAAGGATCATGCGGTTGCCGTGTTATCCGTGAGCAGATAATAAAGATACAGCAAATTTATGTTTGTAACCAATTATAACTATTCCTTCTCCATGATATGTTTCTCATGTTGTGCTGATAATTTAAGTTCGCCTTTTCTCAAGGCACCTTCTACTTGTATGACATTTTCGTCTTGATTTGTTCAAAACCAAACATCAACCATGCCTTGTCTTGGCAATCCTATTTCAATGAAGAATTATACTTAACGGTAATTACAATATGCAAGTTTTTGGTGCATGAAAATTATTGATTTTCTTCTTGATTGTTCAAAAACCCATTAGCTCCTTAAAATCAACCCATTATTAACATTGGTGGCTCCGGTTACCCTCCTAAGAGAAATCTACTGCTCCACTCAGAGAATATTAAGTTTTTGGCTGGAATGATGGGCTGGTAAGCTTGCTACTACTCTCTCTCTCTCTCTCTCTATATATATATATATATATCCATGTTCACAATAAAAAGGCATGATTTATTTGTTTCTGTACCCATTGACATCGTGTGCGTCTGCCCAAGTACGTAATTTGTAGTCAAGAGATATGTTACAATTCCAAACGCTAAAGCAAAATAAACTAACTACATACAAACCCACCCCCCCCCCAAAAAAAAAAAAACAAAAACAAAAACAAAACCTTGAGCAATGGATGAAGCCGTTTGAAACTAGTCTTACCAAAATTTCTCATTTGATTGCAATGACCAGCCAAACCCTAAATAAAAATGCGGGAAGTTACAACTAATGTCAAGTGACAAAAATACAACCCTTTCAAATCTCTCCCCTAAAGCATACTCGTAGCACATTCCTAAAGTAATATCCCAACTTCAAAGCCCCTATACACGTAGCCAAAACTTCGAACAGATTCTCAAACAACGTAAATTTGAACCTGATGATGGGCCAAGACGTGAAAATTATACACTATAAAGATAAGGAAACAGAGACAGACTTAATGAAGAAACTAGCTAGTCTTGCAGATTTCAAAGTGAACTATGGGTTTTATGCACGAATCTCCATCCGATCATCACGGATCCTGTGGACAAATCTTATCGAACAGACATTAACAGAAAGGTCTTTGATACACACAGCTTCATCTCCTCAGATGAGTGATCTGCTATTGAAATATTTTGAGATTAGCGCGTGACAGAGATAGTAAACAATTATTTCCAATGGATCCATGAAAATTCAATGATAAAAATTTCCGTCTCAAAACATCGTGATCCAAATGTGTGAAAATTGAGGACTTCCACATCTAGCTCTGTTAACGAATTCAAGGTAATGCACTCCTAACTAAACTAATAGCTTAGTTCTTGAAACTTTATAATTATTTAATAATTTTAATCCTACAAACTCGCTAAACGTATTAGTAATTAAAACTAAAAATTTCAGGACATGCTAATCTTTCTAAACATGTTTGAACCACCAAACAAAGATAAAAAGTTGCCCGATTATGAAGTTCTTTAAAACTTAACCTAGTTCTCTCTGTCATTTCTTTCTCCGTTCAAATTCCAGATTGCATTAAGCTTCTTCCGAAGCAGAAGTCTACAAAATAAGCAAATGCTCAAGCACATCATTTCAAGGGTGGAAGAGAAAGGACAAAATAGAATACCTTATCAGGGAAAACAAATTCAACAATTTGCACGACAGAAAGGGAAAAGAAAATGAAGCGCACATTTCCTATCACCAAAACAATAATCTCAAAGCCATATGAACCACTTTTGTTAGACGCGTTATATAAACACCTAAATCAAATGGGGGGAACAAAGAACCAATTCTAACATCATATGCAAGTCTGCTAGTCTTCTTTTCTTTAAGAAATATAAATCAACACGTCATCAATTAATAATCTTTCTGGAAATTAAGGGCGAGGAGTTACATGATAGAAGGGATAATCTCATTCCATCCCCCCTTCAGTTCTGAGTAGATTTTTTACGTGGAGTTAATTTAATATAAGAAACAGACACTACTCTCCATATTTCATCGATACAGTTGATCACTGGCACGCTGGATTCTCGGAAATCATTTATAAAGAGAGACACCTACCTCATGAAGATTTGGTTCGATCAATATTCAAACAGCAAAAGGCGGAATGGTATAAACTTCCTCCAGGGATAGAGCTTTTGACTAAGTAAAATTCTGAAATTGAACCAGATTTTCATTGAATCAGAACAAATGAATTGACAATATATTAATGTATAATGAGGGGGGAAAATCCCAGAGATGAATGCTGTTTTTTGCTGCTGAGAATGTTATTGAACATTATTGTCACCTTCCTCCGCTCTACAGATTACATCCTCTGAAGAATATGCAACTTTTGACTCACTTGGTTCATCTCCTACACTAACACGGTATATACTGCCAGCAGTGCTGTTCCCATTAGATCCCCACGCATTCCTTCTGAACCAGGGTCGATGTATTTTTGAATTATTCCATTTTTGCTGCCTAAAGTACTTCCTTCCCAAATCACAGGAGGAACCTCTCAAACGTTTGTAAAGCTGTTTATCATCTTCACGTGAAAGGTCAATGTCTTTTGGGCTAGTAGTGGCTGTGCTGGGAGTGATATCGTCAGAGTAACAACCAACTGGACCACACATATCCTGCTGCTGAACTTCAACAGGCTGATCTACAGTTGCAGCATTAGTAGAACTAGGAGGTTGACAGTCTTTATTATCCCGCGGATAGGGGGGCAATGGGGGAAATGGGCTGAAAGGCACACCTGGTGCACTGACCCAACTCCCTGATATTTCAGCATGAGGCGTGCCACACTGCTGGACAAAAGATAATGGCATTCCGTATGACACAGGCATGCAAGAATTAAATTTCTCCTTTGGATGTCCAATTACTGTATGTGGGGGACACCCAGAATTGCTCACATTTTGCAAAGCAAGATCAACAGGGCGAGGTGAAGCATTCAAAGAACCCAATTGCGGTTGAACAGGACATGAAAACCCAGGGGGAAAATCCTCACTAATGTTCTGACTTCCATCAGAACATTTAATAGCTGCATCAGCATGCATTGATAGCCCAGAATCAAAATTTTGTCTCTTACATGGACTAGATGATAAGTTTGATATTGTCTCTGCAGGTTGATCCCATCTGCTTTTACGCTTGCGCCTTTTTGTCCCACCAACTTTACATCCATCTAAAGACAGTGCAGGGCAACCCTCCTGGGCACCAGCATCTGCCGAGGTTGTCAATGGTTTTGATTGCTGTGCACAATCTATTGCTTCCGTGGGTCTAACGTCTAACTCCCGCTTATGGTTCTGTGGTGCTGAAAATCTATTGCAGTTAAAATTCCTGTAAGATTCTCCCTTAAAATCATCTCTGTCCACATAACCATGTCTTCTGAAAGGCCTACGAATCCATCTGTCCCGAAAGCTTCGAGCGATTTGATGCACCTAAATGTGCAAAAAGAATGATAAAAACATTCAAGGATTAATGGTCCTCACCCAAGAAAAAACATGCTCCTGCGGGAATAAAGAAGTCCCAACATGTTTCTGCAGATATACTGAAAGTGATAGACACAGGACCTGACTAAGCTTATATTGAAATAAACCATTGGTGCAACACATACCTGTTTGTCATCATGCTCTGCCAGAGACAACATGGACTCCCTAAAGCTGCAGACAAAACCAACTAGGATGAGAACAGCAACAAGACACTAAAAAATCTCAATCATGAAAGCCTTTGACTCCAAAATCAAGCTTTGAAAACAGCTGGACGTGGAATAATATACACTTCCACAAAAACAAAAATAAATTACATCAATGTATATCTTATAAGTGTTGTCTGAGGAGAAGACTATGTCCTTGGCTAGTGCACAATATCTATCAAGTGATGATGCATGAAAGAGAGCTAAAATGCTAGGATAATTTAAATAAACATCAGCTCAAACTATATTTTTAATTGTTCGAATTGAACTAAGCAATAAAAAACTATTTCATCTATTAACCCCACCTTTCAAATTTCTTTCCAATTAATGGCCGGGGGAAGTTCTTATTTAACATGTTTCATGCTTCGTATTAATTCACAATAATTTTTCTTTTCTTATTCTGTTAGTTTAGTCATTCTTAATATTTAACGCAAATCACATTCTTTTTAAAAGAAAAAAGGAGTAAATTATACTATTATCCTTTGAACTTTGGCCAAATTACACTTGATACCCTTCTCAATCCATAAGTTACACATGGCTCCCCTAACACATGATATAAATTGCAGAGACTTCCCCTCCAAATCACTTTCCAACAAAGAAACTTTCTAGATAAACGCAACTGATTTTAATCTTATATGATAATAAAGACAATTAAGTCAATGTTAAACTCTAACATAAGATTGTATTCTTAATACAATATAGAGTTAAGTGATTCTATCTTTTTTTTAAAAAGAAAATCACGTTGTGTAAAAATTTAACTTCATTCAGAGAAAGTAAATTGAAAGAGAGCCAAGGGTAATTTTTTTAAAAACAGAGGTATCAGGTAAAATTTAGCCAAACTTCAAGGGATAGTATGCACAAAAAAAAGGTCATATTCCTTTAACTTTGTTATCTAATTAAATTCAGCTCCATTAGAAAATAAAGTTTTATTCTAGTTAACCAACTACTTTGGTAAAACAAGGAAAAAAATGGGCCAAAGATGACATTTTCTAACCTCTCCATTCCATGACAGGGAGGGCCGCTGTTGATGTGCTCAAATGTCAATATCTTGCTTGCTGCTAGATACTCTAAGACCTGGAAGAAAATAAGGTTGATTCAAGAAAAAAACTTATAATATCTTACTCACTTCCCCTGAGAAAAATAAGGGGGAAAATGGCATATTAAGTGAATAAGTGGAATAAATCAGTCAACATCTAAAAGGAGGATAGGATTCAGAACACTTCCGGCTATCAGTTTATTGAGAAGTCACGTCTATGCAACTAATTAGTAACTAGTAGATTAACCTTCTTAAATCCTAACCTCCAAAGTCAATAAGATGTTGAAAGATAAATATTAAATTACTTCAGCTTAAACAGTTAAGTTATCATCTAAAACCAACCAGGTCTCAGATAACTTTGTACTTTTTATTGACAGGACCGGCAGCATGACACTGAATTATACTAGCTTCAGCGAATTCGATGATGTGATTGAAAGTATGTCATTCTTCAATTAAGTTATCATTATATATTAAAATTATGACAACGGATTCTTTTAACCACTCCAATAATCTGACAATAGCACTAGGTATTACTGAACAGCTTTCCACTTCTTGAAAAATAATAAAAGACCAGGAAAGAAGAAAAAAATCCTCAATATTTTCCAATTTTGCCTCCAAAATATCAGGAGCCTACAATATTAATGCTCATCAAGGCTCTTACAAGAAAACCTTAGAATTGAAGGACTACACTACATGGTTGATATTTTCTGCATATTTCACGAAATCTTCAGGCGGAAACCATTCACTCTGTTTCATTATTGATACTATTTTTAAGAAAATAATTCAATGACATGCAGTATCTTAGCAGAGTCAGGGATTTAAATATACTTAACCTCTAAGGTGAGTGCAGATAACTAAGATGATAACACAATAGTATTTTTCACTCTAAATCACCTTAAGAAGCTTCCGTAGTATGGGAGTTTTCTTGAAATCCCGTCTGTATTGCTTCATAATGTTATGCAACATCTGTAGACCTAAAAGACAAAGATTCAATCACCCTTTGTAATAATAAAACCCATGGCCCACCCATGAGGGGGGATTGGTTTGGGACATTTCATTGATATCCAGCAAGCATATGTTACCATTCTTGTTAATTATATCATTCAGCACTGCTCTAGATTTTGTTTTCAGAAGGGCACCAAGGATCATGGAAAGATCTCGATTGCTGCAAACAAAGTTTATATTCCTTTACCAACTGTTCACATGTCTGTAAAGCACAAATAAGTCTCAACATATGATCAGTGGAAAAGAAAAAGGCTAATGACCTTTGAATTGCTTCGCCATTATTCCTATCATCTGATGCCACAGTGAGAAGCAGAAGTTTTAAGTAGCCTTTGGTTGCATCCTGTTATATGAAAAATGTGAAAAACCACTTTTATTCATAAAGCTGCCAAGGTGGCAAAATAAAGTATAACTCAAAAATAAAGGGGCTTAGACCAAATATCAAAATTAAAGAAAAGGATAGCAAAATATGTTATCATATGATAATATATTAGGTTAAAACAAAATAATAGTTAATGACAAAAAAAAAAACTATTATAGAGTAGCGGTGGAAGATTCTCAATTCCTAAGATAATTAGACCAAAATTAACTTCAGGAAAGACATTGCAACATGTATGCAGGCACAAGCTTCCAAATAAATACACCCAACAAAATATCACGTTGTTTGGATGACCATTATAAGGTTACTTACTTTTCTTTTGCTTATTCCTCCTTCTCCATCTTCATCTAACAACTCCTTAAGTTTCTCCTGAACTGTAGGTATTGAGAAGCGTTAGCCACTTGGCAAATTTCTCATCAGAATAACCATGCTAGAAAATACCAAAATAAAAAACAAAGACAAACCTGCTTCATAACGGCCATTGGAAGAACCTTCCACCATCTTTTTAGGTTTGATCCATGCTGCCTGCAATCTGTTGGCTGTCACCGCAGCTTTGAGGCCATTTGAATGATTGGCATGAACCTTTCCCTTTTTAACCAAACCATTTGCTCGAGAAGTCTTCACAACCAGGTGTGTTTTTGGAAAATCAGGCCTGTCTTCAACAATTTCAAACTTGGATTCCCTTTTATTCTTAATAAAATTTGATATCACTTTACTAATAGGTGTAGCAGAAGCTTCCATTCTTTGGATGGAAGAAATATTGTCAGGAAGCTCTGATGTTGACACATGTTGTACAGTAGGCATGGATGTACTAATTACACCATCCATTTGTCGAGAAATTTCTTCCATGTCAGATGATGGCAATTTGCCCATTGAATCTTCCACATCTAATGGGCAGTGCAACAGGGAAACAGGAGGAGATGGGTTTAAAGAGTTCTCTTTCTCCTGATTATTACCTGGCACTCGATCACTTATGGACTTCTCAATTATATCTCTGTCATTTGACAAATTCCTTTCAGCTTGCATAACATCAGATCTAGGCATGCTGCCTTCAATTTCACCGTCTTCAGTAAGCATCACTGGTTCTGGAAATTCTTCATCTGAATCACCTTGAACAATGACTTCAGCATTAAGTGGATCACCACCACCTATATAACCACGACATAGAGGTGAACCACAATAACATTTTTTGGCAGCAGCACCAAAAACCCTTACATAGTTGTAATCAAATGTCACCTCTTCACCCTGGGGACCATGGATGACAATAAGTTTAGCCGGACAAAATAAACCTTTCATATGCTCAGCCAATGACAAACAAAGCAGCTATGTTCATACTACAATGCAAGATAATATGACTTCCAAGCCCTACACATAACCAATGTACTCAAAACGCTAAACCTCCCCCCTCCGATAATATATACATATTTTACTTCCCTAATAACCTCCACATAGAGGTCATAATACTGAAAAGAATTCATTAGGATCCTTCCAGCAATTAAAATGTTTAGAGATGCAAGTGGCTCTCCAAATGACTAATCTAAGCATAAAACATGCAATTTTTTCAAGATTCAATTGTCAGATCTTACAATCTTGTGATCCTAGCGGGATTCATTGGTCCTGACCACATCATTTTCTTCCTTATCATAGGATCTCACAACATTAAGAGATCCTGGAAGGGTTTGTTTTCCTTGCATGCCAGAACAGCAGGTCCCGGCATAGAAAACCCAGAGCAACACCCCCTCTCTGTCACCCAAAATCACAACCAATTTAAAACAGCTATAAGAATAAACCACCAAGTATGTTTACCCATAATACATTTATTAATGTTGTAATGCTTGAGTTATAGGGTTTAAATTAAAATCTCAGTCAAATCTAGTTGATACAATACAAAGATTCAAGAGATAGTTGGTTCAACCAAGAAAGGTCACCATAAAAGAGTACGATTTGCAAGCACACCTGCTTAATATCCCTCAATGCAAAAAGTCCAATACAGATTTCACCATTCACCATCCACTGTCCAAAATGAGAAAAAGGAAAAGGGCTGAGTGACGCACAAACAAAGGAAAAAGAATGGAATTTATTAAATAATTTGGAATTCTAGATCCAGCGCCAAGATAGAAGATGCATTCACCTTTTCTGTACGGCAATTAGGATCACAACTATGATTAATGAATCGCCCCAAGTTTCCTTTTGCACTTGCATCTATCACCTGAAAATATACAAATGTGAATAAAGTCATAGAATAACAAAAGAAACCTATGCAGCAAGGAAAAAACACAGTGCAACTAAAGTCAGGAAATTATGGGGAAAATCACCGATAACAAATTTCATTGAAAGAACCACACAAGTCAGGCCAAAAAAAAGAAAGAAAGAAAGAACCACACAAGGGCACCATTCAAATTCAGACAAACTTGAACGCATGCTCAGAATATGTATCATGTGGACAACATAAAATGATTTAAAAAAAAAAAGTGAAGCATATCCAGCGATACTAATCTTCTTCTTGATACACTGTCCAGTGCTGCATTTACAGGCGGCTCAATAAAACAAACATGAATTCATACTTTCCACTCTTTCAATTCCTGAATAATTCCCAGCCCACTATTTGGACAAAACCAAACAAACAGAACCGCTGATTATTAAGCATCTGTGCAAAGAGATTCAATCAGCTACATACCAAGCAAGCACACTTAGCTTGCGCCAGTAATTATTCAACAACCCCAGCATCTGAAGTTTTAAAACACAATTCAGAATATCTATCCAAATATCTCAGAAAGAATTCTTGCCATTAAAACAAGTTTTCAACAGTCCATTTTGGCTTACTGCTAGCAGCAAAATATCAAGATAATCATGTAGCAAATTAGCTAAAAACAATGAAATGTCTTAAATTAATCATCAATTCCATGAATGTGCCTGACGCCATCAAGTGGGATAAGGCTTGTTGTTGTTGTCAATGAATGTGCCAAAGCAAGAATATAAATACTGTACCATCAACTTCAACATCTTATAGTCTTGAGGTGGTTTCTGAACTCCCAAAATTTCACTACAGGGCATTTTTAGGAGGGAAGAGGATGTGAAGAACATAGCAAGTCCATTTACACATTGTTGTGTGTGGAAGGTGCAGAGGTTAATGTAAAAAGAAGTCTATTCCATGATTTATGTATATATGAAGTGTTTTCTTGTATCTTTTCCTTTCTATGGGAAGGGGGAGAAGAGAGGATTTTCTTAACAGATGAGAAGAATATAGGGCATAGACAAACTGAAAATAACAACGATATGAGAAAACCTTCAACTAGAAGAAAACCTGTTTAAGTTTATTGGCAATAAAGATACTTAGCATCCTTAATACCTTTGAAGCACCTATGAGACACTACATAGTAGAAACATGTGACATGAAAAAATGGAAACAACAGGTCCCAATCCACTGCTTCCACCAAAACATACAACTGGAGACATAAGGAAGTCATGGACAGAAAACGTGAAACTAATGATCCAAACAAATGACCTGAAAGATTGTATGCAGCAGAACAGAAAAAAATGAAGGAACAAAAAGGGAATAATGATGGAGTAGGAGGGAGCAGTTGAAGTGTAGTTCACAGGGATATGTAAAAGAAAGCTGAAAAAGGAGTGGGCCAAACAGAATCCTGGATCTGGATTTGGTGGGAAAGAGCCAAAGACCTCTTGAAAGTTGGCATATGTCGTTCTTCATTTTCATTTTTGTTGTTGCTGCGTGTATGTGTTAGGTGTTTGTGTTGCAGTGATTAGTATGAAGCTAGGTGGAGTGAGCGGTAGCAGTTAGTATGAGTATTGGCGTTGTAACCTATGTCTTAGAAGATGCATCATTTCAGTAGCAAGACTGTCTTTGTCCAGTTCAGATGCGTCCAGGTGGAATTATTGGTTTTAGTGTGTGACGTAGTGTGCTGTAAACTTCTGTCCAAGGAGTATTTTTGGTCTCTATATAAGTTTTGCGGTGCTCATTGTGTTCTTTCAGCAACATATAGCTCAATAGGCGTTCTACTCTGATAGTCTGAGTTCCCCATCATCATATGACTCTGAACATAAATCAGTGCTTCCTATCTTAAAAATAAAAATAAAAATAAAAAAACCATGGTTCAACCAAAATAAATATGTTAAATTTTATACCTCACTGCCATTCAATGTCATGAAGTAGAAATGCCGATGACCCTTGAAAGCATACTCTCTTTGCCGCGCCTCATAAGCATGCATATCAAGCACCTGGTTGAATGATAATTAGATACATTGTAAATAAAGATCAATTATGTGTGCATGCAACACATAAACTGTTCACACACAAAACTACACCCACTTCAATGCACCTACAAATGAATAACAGGGTTGATGCCAACAGTACGAGAAATGACATACTATTTAAAAAAAAAAAAAATCCAATCAGTTTATATTACCCTTTTTCCATCTTTAACAAGCAGCATAAGTTTATTGTTAGTTATAGGTTGTTCTTTTACCCTGGAAGAGTCAACTAAAGGCATAAATCATAAGGTTGAGTGCTTAAAACTAATAAATGGATCAAATTCATTCATCCGCCTCCATCAATATGATTAATGTAATAAAAGGAAGCAGTAAGCCTGTGCTCCGTCTATGATTGAAGGTAAATAATCTTTCCTACAGGGGACTGCACAGGAGATGAACACTAATTTTCTTTTAGGAACTCAGCTAAAACCATAATTTTTTTTTTTTGTGGCTCTTTAGTGCCATTCAAAATGCAATACCAATTCTACAAAAGGAAGCAGATCAAACTACTTTCTCCCTTATCTCCTCAGAGCATATGGTACTGATCTATTTTTTTTTTTCCCTGGCCAGATATATGGGACTGATCAACATGAACCATATCAGCCTAACCCGCATTATCTGCCAACACATGAAATAATTTACATATTGAGTCCAGAGGTAACAAAGATCCACAACTAATATCTGTGGAGGAAGAGGAGGGAAGGAGGGAGGAAGATCCAACTTGACTGCATCCATGACTCTGTTAAAGATCAGGTTAATTCTTTCTTAACCATAAGTTAAAGCAAAAATATAGCACAAAACCATTAAAATGGTTCCAAGCTTTAATAATTCAGCTTCAGAAAATATCTCATTACCAAAGAATCAATAGAGTAAGGGGAGAACACTAAGAAAAGGAAGAGGTTTTGTTCCACTTACCTCCCCAACATATTCAATAAGAAACTTCCCTTTAGATATATCCTCAAGTGCCTTCAACCCGTAACCTTTTTTCCCACATTTAAACCACGTCAAGCTGGCATACTTGCGTCGCTGGAACTGGAAAAAAAAAATAAAAATTCGACTACAATGATCTCCTTTACACCAAATGACAGTCAAAAGAATCTTTGCAGCACAAGAATAAATAGTTTACATGCCTGTTGATTTGAACAAAGATCCCCACATGGGCAGGTTCCTTGAACACATTCAATGTTGAGCATCCGATTTAGACACTCATCCCCACAACCAAACTAAATACTGATGGTTGTTTACAATGGCAAACCATTATCTGATACAAGTTCAAGAACACAGTGAGTAAAGCTTATTAAATTGATCAGTAAATTTACAAATTTCACAAGCTATCAAAGAATTTACAAATTTTACAAGCTTAATTAAAACTCTAGTGCTACTCAACCATGATTAAACACGCAACTTAATCAAGAAAAAACTAAAAAAGTATTAATATTGAGAAAAATGGACAAAACCTATGCATTAACTTAATTGATGCTTCATGTTGGGTAATTAAACACGTGGTTCCTTGTCCTTTACATGATTATTTAAAAAAATAAAATGAGATGTGATCAACACTACATTCAGTCCCCAGCAGATCACCCTTATGTATAAAAGGGATATCTTCTTCATGTCAGCCAAATCTGATTCAGATGTACAATGATGACATTTTCACTGTCCTTTTTCATGAACAAAATATTTATTAAAAGAATAGAAAAATATAAGAAAGGAGGACAAGGAATCTGATTAGTCCAAGCCCAATAAGGTTTATATTCCTACCCTTTCGATTATAAACCTTATTGGGCTTAGACTCAACAGAAACATACCTGGAAATTTTAAAAACAAAGAAAAAGAAAGTAAGAAATCAACTAATAAGAGATCCTAGCCCCTCTGCAAGTCAGACAAAGAAACATTCCTAGTCTCACATGGAAGGTATCAATATAAAAAACACCTAAACTCACTGCCTTCCACCATATCCAAATATACATCATACCCGAAGAAATAAAGTGTGCTTCAATGAACACTTTAATGAAAACCCAACAAACTTGTGTCATATTTATCAGACAGAGCTGCGATACCCTTGCCTGCTGAGGATAATGGCATAGGATAAATTACAACACTTACAGCAAGTAGAAGAACATGAAAAGAAGCAAGAAGAAAGATATAGATTCCTCCACTATTCAAGAGACCAGCGACTCTCCAATAAGCCAAATGACTTTTCCTCCCCCTCCTAACTGACCCTACACCCAATATATTAGCCACAACAACCCTCTTTGCAAAACTCCTCACACAACATTTGACCGGTTAGTTTCTAGGGAATATGCTCTCTATTGACCCTACCTCCAGCTCATCCCTATCCTTATCAAAATTTGGACTTTCAATTTCTACTGTCTTTCTATAGTTTCTCCTTTCATAAGCACTTTTTTTCCGGTTTAGCTAAGCAAAAAAACATTCTGTCCTTTAAGCTCAGTAGCATCAGGTCTGTCAGACTTCCACCCAATCATCCTTCAGAAAACCCCAAAATAAAGTAGAAATGAAGCTCCCTAAAGTGGCAGGGAAAACTCCGTGGAGAAGCTAAATTGGTTATTACAAAATTCTAGAGCAAACTCACAAAGTAGCGCAAAAATTATTCTAGTCTACAAACTCCAAAGACACAACACAGCCATTTGGGGCACAGAGCTTTACTTACTCCATGTACCAATAAAATTAACAATGATTAATCCTATTCAATGTTGCAGATCACACAACAGCCTTAAACTTAGAGGGACTTTTATCCCTCCAGAAAGAAGAGATGTGAACTCGCTTTTAACTAGGAGTCCAAATCAAAGGAAGAAGTTTTCTTCTTGGGAGGGTCGGAGCAATTGAGAGAATCAAAGAAAACTAGTCCTACTTCCTTTCTCAATATGATGTCCCGCTTTAAATGATCAACCACAGGGATTGCAAAGTTCCTTGGCGACACTGAATTCTATTGTCTGCACCATATTTCTTCCCATTTCTTTATTTAATGACAAAAACGTTTCATCCCTGTCTTTTGTGATACCTCTTTCTTCCTAGTTAAATTTCTTCTATTAACAATTACCAAAAAGCAATCCTTGCATCACCCAAAAATACATCAGTGCAAGTTGCACAGCCAGGCAATAATATTCAGATTGATGCTGGTGAGCAACCATTAGCAAACTAATTCAGCTCAGCAAATAATATGCTAAATAGTAAAAGAAATAGAACCATTTTGAACCTCATCAATAGTCTGAGTTTTGCGGTTGCGGTGCAGAAACTCGTTAGTAAGAATATGGGTAAAAGTTGATTCCTGGTGAGCTGGGAAAAAAAATAATAACAATAAGTACACCAGACAAATAGTAAAATTAATGACAGGATGAACTGACAAGCCAAAAACAGCCTAGCTTTAAGCTTTAATTTCTGATTTTCTACCTAACCAGTATTAAATACCTGTTGGGTGTTGATATTCCAACTTCTTATAATTTTTACAGCCTTCATAAGCATCTTCTTCACCTGAAGCATCTGATAATCCCAACTCTGCATTGATCTCTGCATTTGACTTTTCTTGGGGGATAGAGCAATCAGAAAAGGCTTTATCGTTGCTATCCTTACAGGTCCTGAACAAAAATCATGCATGATACGAGGCCAATTATGTTACAAAATTAGGAATAATGGACAAAGTAATTGCCTCATGTACAAGATATAAGCAATAAATTAAGAGAGGATAACATAACCAGTAACATATATACATATATAATATGACTGTCAAGACCACCATGAATAATAGAATGAAAATATTGTAACTTGTAACAAGAGGCTCAAAGATAATACTCCAGTTGCCTGTTCAATTGATCACAAACAACGAAGCATCAATCTCCAAACAATGATAAAATAGGCATAGGCCTCTAGAGATTAGAAATTCGAAAAGATTTACTTTAAATTTTTAATAATTTATTTTTTGACTTTATTTTGTTTCATTCATTGAAATTTCTTCCTAACAAATGGCCCGACGTCATTCTCTTTTGCCAGATTTGATGATTTTGATATTTAGACATGTTGTTATCAATTTCTCCCTCATTCTTCTTCCCTTTCTCCTTTTATCTTTCAAATCCACCTTCTCTCTCCTTCCCCCTTCCCTTTTTTTTCCTGGTCCAACATCATCTAGAAATTACAGGTCAAGACAACATCACCCGAGTCTATAGTTAACTCGATTTTATTTTATAAAAGAAGATTTCACCAAAATGAGACAAAAGGAATACAAAGGAAGGAGGAGAAAAAAATCCTCCAAATCCATACAGTAGACAACAGAGATAGGTAAAAAAGGGGGAAATACCAAGTCGTTAGTAAATCTACATGCCACTTTATTTCATATTAAGTCAAAGCAAACATGATTTCTAAGTGATCTTTTGCGATGTGAAATGACAATCAGCACATTGCCTTCTTCTAGAAAGGTACTTAACCAGACCATCAATACTTTATTCCTTCAAACAGAGAGAAGTTGAGAGCATAACTATCAAAAAGACCACAAATAGGGATGTCACACCAAACATTCAATTCAAGGACTTCTTTATGAGTACTGTCAACATTGGACTGAACAAGTTGCCCTTTATTACCAAATAACGTATCATTAATAAAAATGGTATGTAATTTTTCATTTAACTGAGCCAACTGACAAATATATTCTTATCCCATATTCAAATATCCAGCTTCTATGCAAGGGCCATGCAAAATAAAAATGTGTGCAACAAAATTGGGTTACCAGGTGCACTTTGTTTCTTCAATTAGATCTGCAAGGTCAACAGGAATACGCCGCCACTTGTGACAATCATCACAGCGCACCCATGCATTATGAGGTGATGGATGCTGCTCCTCCAAACTGGTACCGACTAAAATGTCCAAATTGGATCCATTAAATGATGCCTTCTTGTCACCGGCATTAATTTTTATATCATCCAACGTATAACTTCCATCAACAGGTTCTGTAACATCATAAGAAAGCTTCTTGCATTTTAAATGCTCAAACCAAATGACAAACAGAATAAATCTAAAAAATTAATATCAGTAAAATTTAGACAAACGTGAAGGACTTGAAATCCTGTAAAATAAGTAACCAAAATGCAGATAAGAATATCACAACACTTCCACCAAATGGAATTTAATGTGCTCAGAAAGCTACCTGCACGCAGACAATCTTCTGCTTGAGAGGTAACTTTTTCAGAGACAGCTTTTCCCTTGACTTCACTCTTAATAGGTTTCAGTTGTTTCTCTCTTCGTCTGCTACCAGTCTTTTTCGCACTCGTTGACTCAGAAGCTTTTGATTTAGGGGTGCCAATTTTACAAGATGTAAGACTTTTAGGAAGTTTACGACCTGAGGATCTAGCTGAAGACAGCAAATTCTCAAGGCCCTGGGATTCTAAAAGCCCATGATTGTCATTTGGCCCACAAGTAGTCTCAACTTTCATGCTATTTTTGACTTTCAAAGCCTCAGTGGGGTCTTCAAGTTCAATCTCTCCAGATGGGGGCAATGATTCACTGGATAATTCTTTATAGCTTACTGAGTTGCTCGCAGCATTTATATCAGGGGAAGCATGTGAACTTATGGAGCAAACAACTTCATTGGAATTCTTTTTACGTCCACAATTCTTTGAGTGCTTGGTTTTATTTTTCCTCGGTAGCCATTGTGAGCCATCTCCAACAATAGAACTATTAGAAGAAGTAAGCTTGTCTTTCTTCTTCCCTCTCCTGCAACCAGATACCACTCCAAGAGAATCAGACACTTTAGAAGAATCAAGAACAGCATCATGCAAACCTTGTTGATGTCTTTCTCCAACCTCGGCTTCAGGAATTGAATTGATAACTTCTGAATCAGGTGAAGTTCCAGGATCCATCTCCTTATCATTAACTGTCTCTCTCAACGGTTCAATCATCCTCTTGGGAGGAATCATATAGCATAGTTCCTCTGTGAACCCATCTGATTTTTCTGTTGTTGCAGCAGCTTCCAAAAGGTGATTTGCCATTTGTCCATTCACAACAAGAGCATCTCCATCCAGGTTGTTTGATGAAGATTCAGGCTTGTCTACTGCAATCTCTTCTGAAAATTTATCTCCAGCATTGCTGTTTCTTTCCTGAGAGGCTGGACCAGGCCCCACGTTAGAAGCAGAATATGAACCATTCAAAACCTCTGGAACCAGGACATCTGAACAACTTAATTGAACTTCTTTCCCCAGCTTAATCTTCAGACGAACACGAGTAGTTGAAGCACAGCATTTCTTCATTGAACTCAATGAGCTAGAAATTGCACCATTCTTGTTTCTCTTGCCACTTTTACGGGCACCTCTCACCTTCCCCAATCCTTTACCCATAACTTTATCAACTCCAAGCTCATTATCTTGTTCAAAAAACTTATTAATGTTTCCTATCAATCCCCAGATAGAGGAACGAGCTCGTTTAGAGAAACAGCTTCTTTTCTTTCTAGCAGCCTCCAAGATCATCTCCATATCCCCACCTAGGAGTGGCACACTGGTTTTGTTTTTGCATTTCCTCAAAGCTCTTTTAGTCTGTGTCTTACGATTAGATTTACTTCTTCGACTAGTCCTTCGAATAGGCAAGGATGCATTCCCAGAATAATTGCTTTCAGAGTTACAATCAACTTGTATAACATCTTTCCCAATACTGTCGGCCTCTCCAGAATTGCCCACAAGGCTACTATAACCGATGGAACCATTGACCTCCTTGAGATGATCAGGCACATCCTTTGGAGAGCTAATACTGATATAATCAAGAGAAGGAAGATCTGATTCAGGAGGAAACATTTTTCTCAAGGTACAGTTGGCATCTTTTTTGGAGCAACTGTCATTTAACTTGTATGCATTAACAGCATGCGACATATTGTTCTTCATTTCAACATTTATTTCAGTCATAACATCATTATTTTTTCCCTTAACTTTCAGAACATCTTCTGCATCAAAATCAGTATCAATATTATCAATCCCCTTCTCCGAGTGGGTAGCCTCACCAGGTGAATAAGCTACAGGCAAACTCCCCAAGATCCTTTGATGGCCTGATGAGGAGAATACTTGGACATGTGTCTCAATGAAACTTTGTTTATCAACAAAGCCTTTATAAGGACTATTCTCATCACCATCTTTTTGATCATGCAGCTGATCACTTATAGCCTCTGCTTCAGTATGTATTACATCTGTGGGTACTTCACTGCCCTGTGAATGAGTCTGCTTGCAGGCATCTGATTCAATCCCACAAATCAAATCACCTTCGTTCATGCCCTCCAAAAATGGATTAGCATTCCTCATTATGTCCTCTTGTTCACTTTGTTGGTGGCAACAAACAAGGAAGCCGGTTGCAGTTGGAAAACCAGCATCGTTTTCACCTTCCATGAGTGCAAAAGAAACTCCTGCAGAGTGGAACGTGTTGTTCTTCTCATCCTTCTGCCCATCCTGAAGAACACAATTCTTAGGTGAACCACTGGCCAATATGAAGTCTGATGGCATTTTGATACCATCTTCGGCATGAGGTTTTCCTTCTGCCACCAGCCTGACACTTTCTAGATTAGAAAGTTCAATTTGTGCACAAAATGTACTCTGACAAGTCTGGCTATCATTCTCAGAGGTTTTCTCCAGGAGTGACATCTCAGTATTTTCACTTCTATTCACCGTCAACAATGAATCTTTGGACATCTCTAGAACATCAATAGGGCTTGCAGACCCTGCATAGACCTCTCTAGATGAATTCATACAACCTTCCATAATGTCAGAGCACTCAACATTAGAGTCCAACGCATTGCAAGTTACTGCTAGACAGGACCGCTGTGAACTGTCAGTATTTTCACTTTTGTTCTCCATCAATGATGAATCTCTAATTACCTCCGGAGCATCAATGGAAATTGCCACCTCTCCAGTCGAATTCATACAACCTCCTGTCAGGTTGGAGTGCTCAACATTAGAATCCAGCGTATTGCAAGTAGCTACTAGACAAGACTCTTGTAAAATATCAGTATTTTCACTTTTGTTCTCCAACAATGAAATTCTGGTTATCTCTGAAGCATGGATCGGGCTAGCAGACCTAGAGTGGACCTCTAAAGACGAACTCATACAACCTTCTTCCATCATATCGGAGAGATCAACAACAGAGTCCAACACATCAGAAGTTACTACTAGACAGGACTGTTGTAACATAACAGTATTTTCATTTTTGTTCACCGTCGACAATGAATCTCTGGACATCTCTTGAACATCAATGGAGCCTGCAGACCCAGTGTGTACCTCTCTAGACAAATTCATACAACCTTCCATCATATTGGAATTATCAACATTAGAGTCCAACACATTGCAAGTTACTACTGAACAGGACTGTTGTAAGATGTCAGTATTTTCATTTTTATTCACCATCAACAATGAATCTTTGGGCACCTCTGGAACATCAACAGGGCTTGCAGACCCTGTGTGGACCTCTATAGACGAATTCATACAACCTTTCATCATATTGGAGTGCTCAACAGTAGAGCCCAACGCATTGCTAGTTACTACTGGACAGGACAATTGTAAACTATCAGTATTTTCAGTTTTGTTTGCCATCAACAATGAATCTCCGGACATCTCTGGAGCATCAATGGAGCTTGAAGATTCTGTGTGGACCTCTCCAGTCGAATTCATACAACCTTCCATCTTATCAGAGCGGGCATCGCAACTTACTACTGTGCATGAGCATTGTAACCTATCAGTATTTTCATTTTTGTTCATCACCAATGAATCTCTGGACATCTCTGGAACATCAACGGTGCTTGCAGACCGAGTCTGAGCCTCTCTAGACGAATTCATACATCCCTTCATCATATTGGAGTGATTGACATCAGATTCCAACGCATTGCAAGTTAGTACTGGACAAGACGGCTGCAAAGGAATAGACTGCAATGGAAACTCTGCGTGTGAATGCTGCTCAATAACAGGCCCGCTTGAGGCGTCTTCTAATACGCTTGATTTCCCACACGAGCCCATCTCAATTTCAATGAATCATTCTAATCTAGTAGACTACCATTAACCTGTCGCTGGGTAACAAAAACCTTGTTAGAATTATATTTCGGAAAAGAGCAAATCACCAAACCGAGTACAATGTGTTACACTTAATCCATCAAGATATGCTTAAAACCGCTTTCATTCACCGCTACATCCATTAAGGCAAAAGTTAATATCACTACCTGAATCGAAACTCTCAGAAAAATGAGAGCCCGCGGAGAAAACCCTAGAAAGCTGCATTCTCCTACGGCCCTCTGCACCAAAGATAAGTAAATATAAAAATATATATATATAATAACAAAAACCATACATTCAGAATTATGCTAGGGAATGCAAACAGACCCATGCGTTCCCGATAACCACAGTTGTGAAGGAAACATCATGAAAATTTAAAAACAAAACAAAAATGCCTCGATAAGGAATAAAAATAAAACTTGGGTGGCAAGTAGATTACACGGAAGAAGTGAATAACAACCAAGGATGTTAGGTTGTTCTTTCCAGCAATTGTATTGAAAAATGATATCTCCCTCTCTGGCTTAGGGGAGAGAGGGGAAGTTGGGTCTGCGACGCGCGCGCAGAGAGAGAAAGAGAGAGTTGGTGTCGTCAACAAAACGAAGTCTAGAAGGAGGGAGCACGGAAAAAAAAAAAGGAAGGGGGGAGGTGGCTCCAGCCGGAGACGGCCTTTATCAATTCTAGGTTGATTGGTCCGTTTTACCCTATTCGCATCTTCGCGGAGGCGTTAACGATGTTCCTTGCTTTAGTTCTTCGTAGGACACATGTCCAAACTTCAAAGGCATTTTGGCCAATAAGAAAATAATAATTCTCCATCATTACTCCCCAAGTTCTTTGGCAGCAGAATCCCGTTATTTTTAATTATATTAATATTAATATATTCTACTAAATACTAATTGTATTTATGATTATAATTATTTGGGATTCTTTCGCGTTAGTCTGCTGGAGGCGTGGATTTTCTCCATTCTCTCCCCTTGTGCAATTTTATTATTATAGCAGTTCTTTGTATGACTTGCCAAATTAAAAATAATTTAAATTTAAATTGACCTTTTTTGCCAGCAAATTTAAATTGACTCGTAGCAGTGATTTTAAAATAAATTATGAATTTGTAATCAGTGAGGTGTATTTAATTTGCCTTGTACAATACTTCTGGATGAATGCCCTTTGATTCAACCAACTTTAAAAAAAGAAAAAAATTGCATACCGAAGCATTCAATTCAACGAAGAAGGATAATGACAATGTGCCGGGATATATCAAGCATAGGTATAGTCAAACGCAACAATCAACGGTCAGACTGCCAATTATCAGCTTGTTGTTGAGCTTTAATATTATATTTATATGTATATATATGTATATATTAATTATACATGTTTAGATTGGTCCAATAAAATGGTTAAAAAGTACTTGTTAAGATTTCCCTTTTTATGGTTCATTATATTATAAGGTTAAAAAAAAAATGTCATGTTATAACATGCGAATAAACAGTTACAACAATGCTTTTCGTTAGATTTACATTTTGCTAAATCTCGTACTTGATCTATAAGGGTTTTTTTTTTCCTCTCACATTTAGTAATTGATTGTCCCTTGCAACAACGAATGTTTAAGATTTTTTTTTTTTTGGTGTATCGTAATTGTTATTGAAAAAATATATTTGCATTTTGATTCGATTAGTCTTAACTGTGACGAAGTTTCCACCTAAATGCTAGCATCGTAAAAGCTTGTGTATCATTGTCAGGTATATAATGAGAAATAATGGTAGCCTTTAAATTGTGATTTGAGAAAATGTCCCACAAAACTTGTGTATATTAATTTAACGATATCGTATGATCCACTCTTGAGTCCTCTGGCTATGAGTTTATTTATTTATTTATTTATTTTGTCACGAGTGCTATTTGGATTTCAACCAAGAATGCGTAATAACGTTTGTTTTTGAAAGATAAGCTAAAACCAGCACAGACTGACCAAACAAAATAAAAATAAAAATAAAAATTCAACGCACGTATAATATATAAAAATAATAGAAAGACTAGTAATAAAAAAGTTAAGAGTTAATTTTACCCATAAATTAATTATAGAAGCTTATAGATGACTCTAAACTGATTCATGAGTCAATTATATTCTTCAACTTTAAAAGTTTAGCAACATGTACCCTTGGCTTTTTTCTATTAAGTGGGTCCACATTTGATTTTTTTTTAATATTTTTATTATAAAATAATTAATAGGGGGTCTCACAATTTATTTGTAATATTTTTATAGTATAAAAAAAGGAGAATTGCAGCCAACCCTCTGTCAAGAAAATTAATTACATCTAGGGACCAACAACAAGTCTTACTCGAAAAAAAACAAGTCATGTTTCACATTTTAACAACAATTCGTTTCGCATTGATCCTTGTCTATAATTAATTCCCTTAAGAGGAAGCTAGCTATAATTCTTTCTATAAAAAATGTTACTCTCTCTCCTCCCTCTCTCTTCCTACTCTCCCTCCCTCGTCTCTCCTTTATCTCCCCTCCTCTTCCATCTCTATATCCTATATCCACTCTAGATCAACCATATCATCTATGAGTGTTTGTTTGTTATCGGAACTATCATTGCCTTCTATGTAAGAATTCACACACACAAACAAACATATATTTACATGAGTTAAATACTTGGTGGTCTTTTGCAGAAGTGCATGGTGCGTAGATGAACTTAGACACAAAAATGAACACGGACATGGTTCAAGACGAGCTATATTTTGAGTTCTTGAGGAACTGAGGTGGTTAGCCATACATGGTTCAAACAAGCATCACGAGCTCATCTCCAAATTTGAGTCTCAACCTGGCTGAGCATCGTTCTCCCTCCTTCGTTTACCTTCCTCCTTTACTTGATTCTTCTCCTTTACTCGGCCGTTGTTGTCGCTACTAGCTGCAATATTGTCGTTATCGATTGTGGCAATTGCTCTAATACCTATGACAACTTGAATACCTCAAGAGAGAACATGTTTTATTTCTCCACAACCTTTGCCACTGCAAGCAACAACCTTCAAGTTCCTTTCTTTATCTCGTCACTGTTGCTGCCATGGATGTAGCAACCTTCCAAGATGTTCTCGTTGACATGAACCAGGCTACATGTTGCTCTCTACAAGTGCGTGGGTCATAATAAATAATAAAAGATGAGTAAAGTATCGTTTTCTTAAAAATTTATTTGAAAATTTTTGTTTTGATATAATTTCACATTTAAAAACCAGATATCCAGATGCCAAATGACCATTTTAAAAACAAATTTCACGCATTCAAGTGCTTAATCACTGGCATGAAAACATGATTAACTTAATTAATATACTAATCTACCAGTGTTACCCTTGATTAGCAAATTGATTCTAAATTAGAAAACTTGAGATGTTACATACTTGGGATGTATTTGAAGAAACAATAGCCTTACTTGAAAGGGAGTAGCCTGTCTCTGTTAATTTCATGTAAGGAAGTCAAATCACACCACTAACGTGCTTGCTAAATGGTCACACATTCTTAATTCCACCTTTCGTATCTTTGATTAACTATTATTTTAGTACAAGGCCATAGTAAAAACTGTGCAAAAAAACTAAAATCTAGTCATATCAAAAGCCATGAGGTTTATACAATTGAAAAGCGGGTTGATAAAGATAAAGGTATCAAAATCTTTACAAGGAGTATTGTGAGCTAAGTGATCAGCATAGTTATTTGCTTCCATGCAAACGTAGTCAAAAATAATAGTTCAATCTTTTACAGAGAAATTTTTAATATTTTTGACAATTTGGAGAGGGGGTGGGAGTCACAACATCCGTTATTAATAAGTGATAAAGCTTATAGTGACTATCATCTTTCATTTTAACAGAAACAGAGCCACAAGTGGATGCTTGATGTGTTTTTTTGTTAGTTTAGTTGAATTACTTTATATTTTTCCTTTGCTTTTTTGGGGCATACAAGCTTTGAATTTTTCGTTCTGATGTTATTGTACGTTTCGGTATCTATTTTTTTTTTTTTTTAAAACACCCATTCCCATTGCATTGCGGTATTATAGTAATTTACTAATTTCCCATTTTACCTAGTTCCCGTGCTAATTCCTGCCCCAGGGACTCGTGGCCTCTTCCCTCCTCCCGGAATCCAATCAGCTGTAAAATTGGAACGGAACTGGGTCCAAACAATGCCCGACCCGACATTCTTTTCTCCCCTCGTTTTCTCGGGAAAGAACGAGCGAGAAAATTTTCACGACGAAGTTGAATTTCGGTTAAACCCATCCAGGTTCCTTTTTATTTATTTATTTTTCCCTTCGGCGTAATTTCTGTGTATCGGAATCCCGCGCAATTTCTACCTCCCGACTGCCCAGCCAATTGCCTTTTCCTTCTAGGGCAGACTGTTTCTGCTGTGTTCCTCGTACCCTAATTTTTGAATCTTTGTATCAAGACCCAACAATTTCCGACGATAATAGTACTCTTAGATGGAGGAAGAGAAGGTTCCTCTAGGCGGAGACGGCGGCGATTCGTCGAGGACTTCTTCCTCTTTTGTGAAAAAGGGGGACCGGCAAATGTTCACGGTGGAGCTCCGGCCCGCGGAGACTACTATAGTCTCGTGGAAGAAGCTGATGAAAGACTCTAACAAGGTTAATGCATCCACTTTGGGTCCCGAATATCTAACCTCTGCACACCCCGCCCTGGAATCCAGAATCGCTCCCGTGAGACATCTTAATTTCTCAGTTCTTTTTCGTGCATCCTTCTAGATTTATTTTCGAAGGCTGGGTATTTTCGAAGTTCTAAATACACTGTAGTTAACAGATTACCATAGGATGCATCTTTTTACTATGTGCATTTTCGCAAATTGTGTGATACTGAGAGCATGATCTTGTTCAGTTGGTCGTGGGTGTGGTTTTTGGTTATTTAGTAAGCCGTACGAAACTTGTCAACTATTTCCCGCGCATGGGAGTATGATTCAGGAATGCTGGTTATTAATTAAAATTAAAGGGGTTTTATGGTAATCTGGAAATCTTCTTCTTGGATTACATCTCTTATTAACGAAAATTAATTTTGAATTTTGTTCCTATTCTAGTTAATACACATTCTACTGAAATATTTGACAGACTTGGTGAAGCTTGAGAACACGTTACTTATTGTTAAGCTGTGGGATGAAATAACCTGTATATAACTCTTGATGTTTAAATTATGTGTAGGGTTTCTCTCTTTGGTAAAGACCTGATATTTGTATTTGGATCATAACTGGGTCTTTTGATGCTATATGTGTCCTTTTTTTATTCGTATTTTCATGCTTGTTGTATGGACCATATTTTTGAATTGTTTTTAGACAAATAACATGGAATTTTATTTAATAGAGTAATACAGGCATTCAAGATAATCAAGGAACGGATTAGAAATAGCCTGTCATATGCCAAGTGTTTGTCTTATTATTCACCAGGGAACTTATCTACTTTCGTAAATTCCAGCTTATTGTCTTGTTGACATTGTATGTGGTGGTATGCTTTATTTAGTTTCTCACAATCCTCCACTCATCTTTTTTAGGGACAACCTACTGAAAATGAAGCAAAAGATGGTGCTTTTCCACATCGGTTCAGTGCTGTAATAGAGAAGATTGAACGCCTTTACATGGTATGTATATATTGCTTACCAGGATTGTCACGCTCTGCTCTCTATCAACATCATTTAGTTTTAACCATAGATTTATATATGTGCATTTAAGATTTATAATCATAAATTTGTTAATAATGGGAACTAATCAATTCAGGGCAAGGATAGCAGCGATGAGGATGATCTACTTGACATTCCAGATGATGATCAATATGATACAGAAGACTCTTTCATTGACGATGCTGAGCTGGTAGGTATTCTTGTATATTGTTATGGTTCATATATGTGTTGACCTTTGATAGCTGACAGGAATTGTATTCTTCTGTATATTTGGAATTTTGAATCATCTCTTGCTTTGTCTATTCTTCTGTATTTTAGAAATTTGGTAATATATTAGGAATTTTTGTGCAGGATGAATATTTTGAAGTCGATAATTCTGCAATCAAACATGATGGTTTCTTTGTGAACAGGGGAAAGTTGGAACGCATGTGAGTTTTATTTTTATTTTTTATGGTGTTTTTAATTTATGAAAATGTATACTAATTGCTAGATTAAAGTTTAGGATCAAGATTGATGTTGCTCAGAATGAGATGTCCAAGCTGGTAGGTTAGCTTTGCACCTTTTCATTAGTTTTATCTTTTTCCTTTTATATTTTAAATTATTAAATGTTGACTAAGCATTTGATCATCTACATCTATATACCTGTAAAGTTTCATATGAGGGCACTACTTATAAGTCATGAACAATGCAACTTCTATCTATAATCTACTGTTAACAAGCCATGTGGTTGGCAAAAAAAGAAGCCATGTGAATAGTGTGACTTGCATTGGGCTCCATGCTGCTCATTATCTTAGCATCTTTTTTTTGATTTATTTTTATTTCTCTTCTCTAGCTCCCTTACTCTTGAATTTGAATTTGGAAATTCTGACTTAAAATTTTGTTCAAATCAATATATCTTTTAGCCAAAAAAAATTCTATTAGGTTATTATTTATCCCGTGCATTCAGGGAAAAATGTATTTTGTTGAAAAGAGAAATGATGATTGCAATGTTAAGCTGTCCGTGACCTTAGAGAGAAACTGAGTAAAACATAAACTTGGCTTGTTGATGTTTTTTAAAAGGTCTTCTTGCATCCATTTACATCTATCATTTTTAATAGTCAAAAGATGGTGATTGTATGAGATCAGATAAAGTTTCTTGTCAGAACTCGGTAATTCCTGTATATTCTGTCGAGGAGGATATTGAATGCTCCTCTTATATTTTATGGTCTTTCTTCTCACTAGTAAATTCTTTACGAAGATAAAAATAATATTTACTTGTCAGTTTCGACTTGATTTGTTCATTGCTGAAATTTAGTTAGTGTGTTTTGGTTTTTAGTTTGCTAAAAGTTCATTTGGTGAAAGTTAGTTTAATGAAAGTTAGTTATTGTAATAAAATTTGTGTTTGGATACATTTTTTCAAAAGTTAGTTGGGCACACTGAAAGTTGTTTGGTTTATAATAGTGAAATGTGCTTTTGAATGTACAATTACAAAAAAAAGACATTGATTTATAATGATTTATAATTTTTATTATACAAATGCAATATATTTGAAATATTTAACAAATGTGATAAAGATTTTAAATAGCGTAAAATTTGATCTATAATGTTAAAAACTTGATCTCTAGTTATTTATACTTTTTTAATTTGTAATTTTAGAAAATGTGATCAAGATTTGTAATTTTTATTATAAATGCTAAAAGTTAACATGATTAATTATTCAATTTATAATGCTAAAAATTTAATACCTAATTATTATTATTGAAATGATAATTATATTTTTAATGAATTAACTATTTTTTAAATAAAATAATAAGAGATTAAACTTGGATAGTATGGTCAAATAATATTATACTTTTCAAAAGCTTCAAATAGTTAAGTTTAAGAAATTCACTTTCAACCACTATTTAAATGTGTTTTCAGGATGTGCTTTCTTGAAAAAAATTTTACCCAATCAACTTTCAATATCTTGAAAGGGAAATTTTGCTTTTTGAATGTAAAACGCAAGTAAACCAAACCGGCCCTCAATCATTTTCCCTTTATCTTCTTTACTGTCAATGCAAACTACTCTTGATGGGTTTGAAGTATCATTGTTTGTATATCTTTTATTTAAAATGCTAGTTCTAATTGTCTTTCTGCTTTCATATTTCCTTTTTCCATTTTTCTTGACAACCTTTTTGCTGTCACTTTGGTTTATGGTAAATTTTCTTTATGATGACTTCTGCCCGTAACTTTTGCAATGATTTTCCAAATTTGTTGATTAATATCAGAGTGAATAAGTCAATTTTCACAAAAAATTGTTATTTTTTGATGATTTTCATTTGTTCCTTTCACCTTTACCAGAAATGAGCCTCTGGTATTACCAAACCAGCAACCAAAAAAAAGGCGGAGAAAAGATATATTGAAGAATCCTGGTGAAAGTTATAATGGTCAAGAATCAAATAAACATGGAAGAGTGGGCAAGACTGCAGCTGGAAAGGCAGCATCGTTACCAGTTAAAAAGACGTTGAATTCCTCACAGAACTTGCCCGTATCTATTGAACACTATGATGATGTGAAATTTCAGAATCAACTGGTATCCTGTTCAAACAAGAATATTGCTGATACTAAACCAGTATCAGATCCTGCTGTCTCTTTGAATGTATCAAATGATGATGCTCCTCCAACAATGATAGAAGCAAAAAATATTGATAAGCAGAATGTAGGAAATTTTCAATCCAGGAATGCAAATGACAAGTACGAAGATGCCAGTGGATCATTTGATGCTTGTCAAAAGAAATACCATGAAAAAAGTTCCTATGTTCATTCCAAATCCCAACCTGGAAGACCTACAAGTAGTATTGATGGTGTGGAGAACAGAGTTCAGTCAAAAGAAAAAAATGGCATATGTGAACTGCCAGATCTTAACTTGTCTGAGGGAAGGACTGCCATGCAAGCAACGGTGAGTTTATTTCTTTTGCTTTTCTGTTGCACTTGGGTTTTTCTTATTTATTTATTTTTTTTGGGTGGGGGAGGAGTTCTCCTGTTTAGTTTCAATCTTTTGTATTGTGGATAGAAGATTTTTGGGGATAACCAGGTTATTTCTTTTTATTTTGAAGAATTTGCTAAAATTGAAGGGCAACGCATCTAATAATCTTGAGAAACAAATGTCACCGAGAGAAGGAATTAAAAAAAAAAAAATCCTCTGCAGTGCTTTCATTGATTCATTTTTGCTACTAAATAAGAAGGTGCTTCTTCTCAAGCTATAATCATCTCGTTGTGCCAGCAGGAACTTCCCTCCAAATAAGCATGCTCGTATTAGAACCAATTTCTTTTGCCAGCAAAAGATCAAAACTACCCTGAGGCATTACATGCTTTGTCCCGTCAATTTGAGCTTTGCATCCCACTTCAATTGAGCTAAAGAACAAGGCAAAAGAAAACGGAAGCCTCCCTGTCATTCGTGCATGAATAACAAGAAGTAGCAATCATATGGAAGTTATCATGTGGATTTTACATATGGATTCTTGATTCATTGGCTATTTAGTTTCAACCCTCTCTCTTGATATGTTAATCTTAGCTGCCATGACTCATGGGCCATACTCTTCATCTTAAATATTAGCTATTCAAACTAAGTGATAGTAGCATGCTTGTGGCAATTACCTTTTGAGAAATTGGAAGGGAAATAATAACAGGCTAAGGTATTTTTGTAATGCCTTCTTCATGACCTAGTATGATATACATGTTTCATGTTCTTAATTATTGTGACAATGTTACCGCTGATGATGAAATCTGTGACAATTGAGTTCTGCTATTTGAATATTCTTGCAACTTCTTTTCAAAGCTGAGATACAAGTATTAATATAAGATCTATCATGTTTGTGGTTGTCCCGCATTTGTTCAAATATTTTGCAGAAATTGCCATACACGCACAAGAAAGAAGGTTCTAGTGTCAGGCCAAAAACTTCAATGCTTGAAAAGGCTATTAGAGAGTTAGAGAGGATGGTTGCAGAATGTAAGTTCTGATTTCGTTGTGAATCCTGCAATTCTCATAGATATCAATTGCGGATAGTTTTGTGCAAATGCTAAGTTCTTTCTTTCTTTTGGTTTTTTTTTTTGGGGGGGGGCTAATATTACAGCAAGACCACCTGCAATGGAAAACCATGAGGCTGATACCGCGTCGCAGGCAGTCAAAAGGAGATTGCCTAGAGAAATAAAGCTAAAGCTTTCTAAAGTAGCTAGATTAGCGGTACATGCAGATATTAATTTTAAGGAACTTTTGATAATTTTTTTTATCAATTGATTTCCAAATTCATTGGATGTTGTTGTTTGTTATTTTAGTCATTTAAGCTCATTTTTGTCCAAATTCCTTATCCTCCAAATACATACTACTATTTTTTTCCATCATCATCAATCGTTCTGTTACAAGAGAAAAGATTTTATGCATCTTCAGACGTGCACAATTTCTGTTGTTTCATTAGGTTTTTAAATTGATTGATATTAACTGTGCTTTCTGCTGCAGCAGGCAAGCCATGGGAAGGTATCAAAGGAGTTGATTAATCGTCTTATGAGTATTCTTGGACACCTGATTCAGCTCAGAACATTAAAGGTATTGCAGCCTGCTTAATATATACAGATGAACCCTGAGTATCTGTCGCTCCATTTTATAATTTTACTGCCTTCTAACCCCATTTTGCTGACAATATATAATTGGAACTTGGCGTATTTCCAAGTTGATTTTTTTTTTGGTGGTTAATGTTGGTAATGTTTATCTTGGTGCTGCAATTCCAGAGAATAGTTGATGATTGATATTTCAAAATTTCTCAACATTACTATCTGATGCAACGGCCAATACACAATTTCTGATTTATCCAAAATCTGATCTTAAAACACACCGAATCCCAATATGCATCGAGGACCTCTGCAGACCAGAGTTTGTTACTTTGCTGCAGTATGATGCTTCCACTACTTGGCCAACTTCGGGCCTTACATACTTCCTAAGCTAACTCAGCATCATACTAGCACCCTAGCTAGCACAACTTCATAAATGACATGCATGATAGCAACAGAACTAAAACACATAAAAACATATATAAACAACAATTCCCATATGTCACTCTCAGTCTTCAAATCCTATAGTTAATTTAAATGTATTTTTTCTTCAAGTCAGCCAGCTACCGTTGCTTTTGTGCTTGTTATTACAAGTTTAATGATTAGGCATGTTTTGATAACGCTGAAGTTATGCACGTGAATAGGTCACTTTCATAAATAAAGCAGAAATCTGTTGTCTTTTTAAACTAACTGAGGATTGTGTATCTACAGTGTGCTTGTTACATTCAAGATTTTAATTGGACTACTCTAAGAACTTCTGAAAAGATTGCCTTCCCTTCCCTTTCCCCTTTTCTGACTTCTGCTTGAGTATTTTAACATGATGTGGCTTTGACTACTTATTTTTAAATGATAGAAGTTTTCCAATATTAATGGGAATGAAAACTGTTTTCTGCCTTTCTTTTGTGGATTACCCGTCCCTGCCATTGGTGGTTTATTGTATATAACTCAGGCTTAATAATTTTACAGCAGTTTTGTTCTTTGTCGATATTTATTGTTATATAAGTATATTTCTGTTCTCTTGATGCCTGAAACTACTTGTCCTGTCATGCATTGTCTTCCTGCTACAGAGACACCTAAAAATCATGATCAGTATGGGTCTGTCAGCAAAGCAGGAAAAAGATGCTAGGTTTCAAAGCATAAAGAAGGAGGTTGTTGAGATGATTAAGATGCAGGTCCCATCTCAGGAACCTAAGGTATACATGCTTTTTATTTCCACTCTCAAGGTGATTTACAATGGCTCTTGTAAGGTTCTTCTTTATTCTTTCATATTTGATTCTCACTTTTCTGCTTCTCCACCATCACCACCATCCCCCCCTCCCCTCAAAAACAAAATTCTCGCATCAAGTGTTACTTTTCGTTCTTTTTAGTTAGGCATGAAGTGTGAACCCATATTTGCACTGGTCACTCTGGTAACCAACGTTCCAGGCATGCTTGCAGATGGATCATTTTCCTGATTTGATTTTTTTCCTCGGTTGGTTTGATTTGTCTTGATTGTAGTCCTAAATTTGATCGTGTATGGGTTATTTTCTGGTGCTTGATTTGTACCTTGGTGGTCCTTCTACAATCCTATTTGAGACTTGCTCTTTTAGATATTTAATTTGGGATGCCTCATGAATTAGTGAGTTTTTTGGGCATTTCAGCAGCAGCAACAAGCCTCAGCTTCCGGTGACTTTCAAGAATTTGGCCCTGATAGAAAAGCATCAGAGAAAAGGATGGATGCTGCATTGGAGGACAAGATTTGTGATCTCTATGACCTTTTTGTTGATGTACTGAAGTTTTGGCTTTAAATACTTATTTTTAAAATCTTTTTGGTCGTGAAAAAGCTCTTTTATGACATGTTTGCAATTGTTCTAGGGATTGGATGATGATGCAGGCCCACAAATCCGAAAATTGTATGCTGAGGTGCTGTGAATTTTTTTTTTATTAAGGATTATTCGGTTGTGTGTGTTGTTTATTTGTGGGATTGCATGATGGTGCTGAGGACCGGAAACTTGATCACCTTTTTTCTTTTGGGGGTTCTTTGCTTCTGTCCTTTTGTTTTGGTATCATCTCATTGCATTCTAATGTAAGGTAGAACTTAAAAAATTAATTGCATCTAAAATGATATCATGCACTGTGCCATCTAAACCTCTCGTCTCTTCAAGGCACTGAGGTTAGGGCTTGTATTTGATAATTTAAAGGTCTTACAAGCCCCTCACTTTCCCTACATAACTTTCTCGCCTCCCAATTTGATGTTTTCTTCCCTGAGAATCAGTTATATGTTTTATCTTTTGGAGTATTTCTGCTAGTTGATTTTATGGAAATGTTGTTAAATGTATTGCCTGTCATGTTCGATTTATTCTCTCAAGAAAGGAATTTGGAGCAGCTCTTTATATTTTGTGCTATTTTATTTTCTTCAACACTTCATCTCTTGTTCCATTTTCAGCTTGCGGAATTATGGCCGAATGGTTACATGGACAACCGGGGAATTAAAAAAGCAATCTGCAGGGCAAAAGAGAGGCGCAAAACATTGTATATGAGGCAGAAGGCATGCTTTAATTATCTTTTAATGTGCCTTTTTTGGGGGCACCCCTCCAAGCCATTCTTATTATTACAAGATAACTTCCTCTCATTTTTGTTTGCACAACAAGAAGCATCTCACTGTTGTCTGCAATCATTCTTAGTTTATTTCCGTTTCATTGGTTTGCTTGCTAGGATCATGAAAAAGTTAAGAGTAAAAAGATGTTGGCGTCTCAGCAGGAGACTGTTCGATTTGATCCTAGTTCAGTTACCTCACGACAGAACATGCGGGAGAGATTAACACCAGAATCTAGCACTTATGCATTTACCTCGATGAACAAGCCAATTTCTAATACAATTACCACGGTTGGGGGCCCCAGTTCGCTGGGTAATGGTCCAAAACAGGAGAAAGTGAAGGGAATTTCAATCAATCTGGAAGATGTTAGGGTTGCAGACGGTCTTTTAACAAAGAAGATGAAGAGGAAACCAGAGTTGGAGTTTGAAGGAACTGAGTCTCGTCCCGAGAAGCTTGCTTCTATGCAGGGAGAAGAGAGGCCCAAGTCTTCAAAGCAGTCTGCAAGTCTTTCCCACAAGTCAAATATTCAGCCAACGTCGTTTCCCGGCCTGGAACAGTCAAGTTAACTTGGTATCAGTATCAGCAACGTAGATTTATCTCGTTTTCATTTGTTTTTCATCATATTTTTTCCCCTACAATCCCCATCCTAAAATCGAATTCTGGCTACTAATTGTAGCCATTTTTGTAATTAAATGTCCTTGCAAGGCCTTTGGAAATATGAGATTTGTTGGTAATATAGAGCAGCAAGCTGGTCTATACGGAAACTGAGCTACATTGTGTCTCTGCTCTTCTATTAAGAATTTGAGATGCAGTTTGTAGGATATTCTCGCGAACTGGTTTCATTAGTGTACACAGTTACTTTTTACTTTACAGTGAGTGGGTAAATTTTCTTGGCCAAAAAAAAGAATTGGTAAATATTTTTAAGAAAAAAGATAAATTCTTTAGTCAAAAGAATTATGCTTCATTAGGAAATTAATGTATAAGCTATATTAATTTATGTACTAAAGAATAACTTATGAATCAAGGTTTGAATTCTCTTTTAAAAGAGGTGTTCATGTTTAATGTTTAATTCTATCTTAAACAAAATTGTTTTCAATAAAATGGTACCTGTGAAAAAAAAAAGAATAGCTTAGGATTCAGTCTATTTTAATGTACATGTTTGTTTTTTTTTACATGGTATAAAAAGTAGTAAATAAGTGTTTGATCAATACCAAAATTTGTTCAGCTCTATTTAGGTTGCTTTTTTTTTTTTAAAAAAATTCAGATCAAAATAAGTTGGTGATTTTAAACAAAATAAATAATATTCAAATAGAATGATAATATTTTAATAAAATACATTTAAATATGTTATAGTCTTTCAACTTTTAAAATTTTATATATTTTTACAATAGAAGTGTGGGTTGTTTAACTGATGCCTCCGTCGTGACCCAAAAAAAAAAAAAAACTGATGACTCTTGATTTTTTATTTATTTTTTAATGAATTAATTATTGAAAATATGAGAGCATAAATAATTTTGACAAGTCGATTTATATTTAATCTTTTGATATGTTGCATTGAAAATTTGAACTAACTTACAGTAGAAAAAGGAATTTAAAACTAACTTCATCAAGAATTTAAATTTATTTCAAATAAATTATATAACTTGACTTTGATTAGTTTTAAATAGGATGTAGTGAAGTACATTGCTATGGTAAAAGTTGACACTTCAGCCATTTGAAAAGAAAATCATTTTGAATACGTTCAGACCCCATAAAAAAAGTCGTAACACAAAAATACTGTAATTTCTTATGAATAACTATTAATATTGATATAATTAAAATCAATTTTACGAGTGAGGAGACATACAAATATGGATGGTAAGGGAGAAAAAGGCCATCACGTCAAAGGAGGATAAGCAATAGCAATGTGAATGTCATGGAAATGAGAACCCTCAAAGTTTAAAATTTTATTGCAGAACAACAACAGTAAAATAAAATTAAGATATTGAATGACAAAATTAAACCTATTTTAAATTAAAAGAAATGTAAGGGAGAGGGAGGTTTTATCTAGACCATATGAAGCCCTCTGACTCTGTTAATCCGCCCCGCTACAACTAACTCTCGGTGCCATCGTCGATTTGTTAGCCGCCGTTGGACCCACTGTGCTCAAACTCACCACCGATGAGTTGGACGAATTTTTGCATCCCGCCAGCGAGAATTTCATGTCACTCGAGGTATTGTTGTTGCCACCAGAGACGAGACGAGTCTGGTAGACACATTGAATACAGGCATCCGCACCACCATCTGCGACAAAGTCCCTATATTGTATTGCAGCATTTTAGATGTGGAAGACGATAGCAGTGGTGGCAGAGATGCAAAGACTTGAAAATGACAAGGGATATTGAGGCGAATTTTGTGAAGAGATGAAAGAAGATATGGCGAAAGAAGAGATGGTTAATGTGGGATTGGTGGCTCTGGTGAAAAAGTCAGTGTGTTTCCAAAACAACTTCAGGGAAAGCATGGGGATGGCAAGCAAAGGAGAAGTATATGGCGGGCAAAATGACAGTTATGATGGACACTGCATTCGGAAATGCAGTTCTAGAGGAAAAATCACCAGCTGATCTTGTGCATTCATGTCTCTCTTGTGACCTCGGCCTGAGATATGAATCCTTTAACCACTTAAATGATCAAAGTTTAAAGCCTTTATATTGACCAATTTTTGGTTTCTTTTCCCTTTTTTAACAAATAAATAATCAGGTAGGATTGGATGCAGATTGCAAGAATTTTTTGCCTTGCTGTTTGTATGCTTCTATATTAGGATTATGACTAGGGATAGCCAGCTTTTGATTTAAATAAATCATTTGGGTCAGTACATCTTCTGTGATGTACTCATCAAAGCCATTACCACTTTTTATCGAGTCTGGAATAAGGTGGTGCTGCAGCAAAGTTTGTTATGGTTTCGATCTCTTCATCAATGCCATTGCTATATTCCTGATTAGTGATTTTTTCCTGCCCCTTCATAAATGATTTTCTTAACTCTTACATTTATAATTAAGAGTAGATTTTGAAAAGAAGAAAAAATATAATACATAAACAATTTTGAGATGAATGGATGTGCCGGAATAAGAAACAGGGGTGCTCTGATTCTTGTAGTTTTGTAAATAAGAGATAGGAAGAAAATGGATCAGAAGAGAATGACGAGGAGTGCCAACGTGTTTGTGTGTGCATGGTAGAGCTATAAACAAAGTGCGTAGAGAAGTGAATAATTGTTGTAGGAAAACCAACAATCTCAATATATATAAAAAATTTGCAACTTCATTTATTATGATGATAAAGGTTTGAATAAAAACAAGTAAAGATATGCAACCAATAACTCTATAAAAAATTAATCAGTATATGAACAATCTTGATATGAAAAATTTACAACTATTTTTACTATGATAATAACACTAAAAATGAAAACAAATGAGATTACATATACTAACTCTTTTTATAAGAAAAATTACCACTTTAGTAATGAATAATTACAATATGAAAAAATTGCACCTCTTTTTACCATAATAACAATATTAAGATTAAAAATGAGTAAAACTATGCACATTAATAACTCTTGTGAAAAAATTAATTACTTCAGTATAAAAAATGAAAATTTTTAGTATAGTGATTTTACAACTATTTTTGCCACGATAACATTATTAAAAATAAAATCAAGTGAAACTATGTGCACAAACAACTTCTATTAAAAAATTAATTATTTCAATATGTGCAATGAACAATTACATTACTACAATATGATAAACTTGTAACTTTTTTGATTATGATAAAAGTACTATGAATAAAATCAATCAAAATTATGCGTATAAATAATTCTCTTGCAAAAAAAAATCACTTAACAATAAATAACTACACTATGAGTAATTTGTAATTGCATTAAAAATAAAGTCAGGTGACATTATGCACATAAATAATTCTAATGAAAAAATCAATCACTTTAATATAGAAAATGAATAATTTTAAAATAAAAAATTGTAAATGTCCTTTATTAAGCGATTAGGGAGTAAAATTTTAGATGTTAAAGAACTCTCTTTTTAATTATATTGGATGAGGGTATACATTGAAATTTTTCCTATTAATTAATAATTACAGGGAAGGCAAACGGTGAAAATTATCTCGGTTCCTCCGTAAGCTCCAATAGTGGTAGGTCTCTACACGTGCCATCTGGCATTCTCCGTCGACATGAGTCTGCTCACCTCTCCGGCGATCCGAGTATTTGCACCTTCCTATTTCTGTTTCTTTAAGCTTTCTCCGTCCTCGGGCAATGGCAGAGTCCTCGGGTTTGGGATGGGGCTGGGGTTCGAGTGGCTGAGGAATAAGAGAAGGCTAAGGCGAAAGCTCAAGTCGGTTGTGAACGCAGAGCTTTCGAAGTCGTTTTCCTTGAATTTCAGTTTGGACTCTCAGGTCATTGTTTCACTTCCCCTTTTTTAGCTAAAGGTGGTCTTTGATTGATGGATGATTTATTCGTTTGAAGTTGCTGGTCCCAAAAGAAAAAAAAAAGGTTGCTGGTTTGTTATTTCTTTCGAAGACTGCTACTCTAATTCAATATATTAACTAATAATTAAATCCAATCATGAAATCTGGTGTGTTACTGTTTCGAGATAATAAAATGTTTTACATGATTCATTTATTTTTCGTTGCCATCGGTTGATTTCTATGTCTATATTCTTATTTGTGGGCAAAGGCCGGTTAATTTAACGCTGGTTTACATATAATATGACGAGGACCTTGTTGGTAGGGTAGTTGACTACTGAAATAAATTTGAGCTTGCTGAAGTTGTCACTTTCATGTTGTGAAATTTCACTAGCTTATGTTGTGATCTCATTGCATAATGCATCCTAGTCACTTTGGAATTTTGGAATCTTTTTTGCCTTTTAAACTTGCATTTTCTTTTCCAGTTTGAAATTAATTATTTGGGAAAGTATAACTTCAGATCTCTGTATTTTGCTTGCGTTTTGCTATAAATTCTTACACTTTTTTTTTTTCAATGTTTTAGGTCCTTATATTTTTATTTTTTGGTAGGTCCTTCCAAAGTCCCCACATTTTGTTCATTTCAAGGACCTAAAACATTGAAAAATAAAAGTGTAGGGATCTAGAATATCGAAAAAAAGTGTAAAGATTCAAAGTTATGTTTTCTTTAATTATTTTCTAAAGTTGCCATTTCCGAGCTCGTCGCTTGTATTTATTTGGCTTGTTAAACAATCACGCACATGAGCAAATCGTTTTAATTTTCCTTCCTTCCACTGAAGCGTAAATCACATCTTCCTTCTTAGTTATTTTTGAGATCTGTAGCTTGACATCTCTGGATTTTGATCGTCTCTTTCATTCCTTAAATTCCTCTTACAGAACATGTCCTCTGTCAACCCTGATATTTCATTGATGAAGCAATTGCTTGCACTGTCCCACACTATGAGCAAATAACTAGCCCGTTGCTGAATAATTCTAAACTTTAGAATATCTGATTAAAAAGTAGTTTCTGTTTTTTTTTCCTTTTTCTGTATGTTATTTATTGCACTTTATTGCTCTCAGAATAATTTGAGAATTGAATCATGGAAAAGATTCAAACCATAGACTTGCATTCTTCTTTAAAATCATTTCTGATGTTATTATTTTCAGAACATGAATTCCTTCCAATCCTATGATCCATCACAGCTGCCTTGGATCGGTCCAATTCCAGGTGATATTACTGAAATTGAAGCATATTGTAGGATCTTTAGGAGTGCTGAAAGGCTTCACTCTGCATTAATGGATGCTTTGTGCAATCCATTTACTGGTGAATGTAGTGTCTCATATGATGTCCCATCAGACGAGAAACCACTACTTGAAGATAAAATAGTCTCTGTCCTGGGATGTATGGTATCTCTTGTGAATAAAGGGAGGGAGGATATTCTTTCTGGAAGGTCCTCAGTCATGAATTCCTTCCGTGCTATACATGTTAGCACAATGGAGGATAATCTCCCCCCGCTTGCCACTTTTAGGAGTGAGATGAAGAGGTGTTGTGAGAGCTTGCATGTAGCTCTTGAGAACTATTTGATATCTGGTGATGATCGAAGCATAAATGTGTGGCGAAAACTTCAGAGACTGAAGAATGTCTGCTATGATTCAGGTTTTCCTCGTAAAGAGTTTTATCCTTGTCATACTTTATTGGCAAATTGGAGTCCTGTTTATTTTTCAACTTCTACAGAGGACATGGGATCTAAAAATTCTGAGGCAGTTTTTTGGACAGGAGGCCAGGTAACAGAAGAAGGCTTGAAATGGTTACTGGATAAAGGATTTAAAACTATTGTAGATGTCAGAGCAGAAACTGTAAAAGACAACTTCTATCAAGCAGCCATTCATGATGCTATTGCCCGTGGGAAAATTGAATTGGTCAAAATCCCAGTTGAAGTTAGGACTGCACCTACAATGGAACAGGTTGTGAGGCTTGCATCTTATGTTTCTGATGGCAGCAAAAGGCCCATTTATCTTCACAGCAAGGAAGGAGTTTGGAGAACATCTGCTATGGTTTCCAGGTGGAGGCAGTACATTAGTCACTCTGCATCGCAGTTAGTCTCTAATCAAGTAGTTACTTCCAATGACATGGTTTCATGCTATGCAAAGGGATCCAGAAAATCTCAGGATTATTTGGTGGCTTCAAGGGGATCCTTCCTAGAAAAGGATACCAATTCATTACGAGATAATCTGGGTTCAGCTCATGGTTTTGTCGAAACATCAAGTGAAAGTGCCTCTCAAAAGAAGGTTAACAAAAAGACACAAAGTAATGGGGCTTTGAATGGATCTATTTCTGGAGATAAGACAACATCAGAAACCCTATCTACTTCTAATGGGGTAGGATCTTTTTCAAGTTTCTCTCGTGTGACTAACCCTTTAAAATCTCAGGTTCCTCCTTGTGATATCTTTTCCAAATGGGAGATGTCCAACTTTCTTGGAAAGATCTCACCACCTTCTTATTTCAGATATCATATTAGAGGAATGGAAAGCTTACAACATTCAAGAAACATGCGTATAGGAGACATGATGGTCAGCAATGTTGATAATCCTTTGCCCAAACTTGTAGACTCAGGAAGTTCCAATGGTTCTGCTCATATGGATTATCCTTCTGGAGAGGTAGATGTTACAATTGATGGAAATACAAACTTAGTGGCTGGAGGTACTTCTAATTCTGTTCAGACAACAGCATACAGATCTAGTAATAGGGAAACAAATCCCATGTTTAAAACCAGTGTCTCCACCAGTATGAGCACAGGTATTGATCATGTCGCTACTGGATCTCTGAAGGTTGAAGACAGCATTGCTGAGGCTAGGTTAGCCTTAGATGAAGATTCAGAACCCATTGAGGGGAATATGTGTGCATCTTCAACAGGTGTTGTTAGGGTGCAGTCCAGGAAGAAAGCAGAAATGTTCTTAGTACGAACAGATGGTTACTCGTGTACTAGAGAAAAAGTGACTGAATCTTCTCTGGCTTTCACTCACCCTAGCACCCAACAGCAGATGCTTATGTGGAAATCTGTGCCAAAAACCGTATTGTTGTTGAAAAAACTGGGGGAAGAATTGATGGAAGAAGCAAAAGAGGTAATGATCCTTTTCATGGACTCTAATAACAGAAAGCATGTGTGATGTGCAAATCAATGGTCGTCTTTGTCTCTTTGGTACCTCAAATCTAAATATAGAGTTTCTAGAATTGGATTTTCCATAATAAATTACTTTTGAAAGAATTATTAGTTAGTATTTGAGAGTTTTGAAATTGTTTTCAGTCCAAACTATTTATAGTTGTATCTTTCACAAACCTTGTATTCCTAACATCATGATTGGGGCTGCCTATTTGTATAAATCTTTCATATTCAAATTAGGCATAAATTTTGTCTCTAAGTGTTTTTCCTCTTATCTAAAACAAATCTTTCAGCTATTTGTGATTTTAATGTGATTGATATTTAAAATACCAATGGTTCAGCTGGAGTATCAAATATATTTTTTTTTAGTTTTTTTTTCTGGCAGAAAATATTTTTTAAGCTTGTTATTTCATTCCTCTAGTTGGCATTGATGTGTTTGTGAAATATGTTGTTCAAGTTTTTGCAGATTTTGCCACCTTCAAAATTTTTAGCAACTCAAGAATTTTTCCTTTTGATCTTTTTTAATTACGAATATGCTTTAGCCAGTTCTTGTAAAAAAATAATTTTAATTTATCAAATGTTTTATAACCCCTTCCTAATTTGTATGCAAATAATAGTCTGTTTTCTTTTTCTTTTTCCTGATTGCACAGAGGATATCTAGCTATAGTATTTGGATGAGTGAAAATACTAGTCCTAACAAAGAAGGGATTTTTTTAAAAACTATTCCTGACTAAATCCATTCTCGGTACAATTTCTGTATCTTATCTGCAGGTGGCCTCTTTCTTATATCACCAAGAAAAAATGAATGTTGTTGTGGAACCTGCTGTGCATGATATATTTGCCAGAATTCCTGGGTTTGGATTTGTCCAGACTTTTTATAGTCAAGATACCAGGTACAGGAGTTTGTGAGCTGGAATACAATAACTTGACAGTATTTTCCGATATGGTTGTCCATTGAAAAGCCATGTTAAATGCCTTTGACTCAGTGATTTACATGAGAAAGTAGACTTTGTTGCATGCTTGGGGGGAGATGGTGTTATACTGCACGCTTCAAATCTATTTAGAGGTGCTGTTCCCCCTGTTGTTTCATTCAACCTCGGCTCTCTTGGTTTTCTAACATCTCATAATGTGAGCTTTTGTAAATCTTTAGTTTCTTTTGCAATAAAAGCAATATAGGCAGCTCTGTGGTCATTTATTTGATTTACATCCTGTTTTTCTTGTATAGTTTGATGACTACAAGCAGGACTTGCGGCAAGTTATTCATGGAAATACTATACGAGATGGTGTGTATATTACTCTTAGAATGCGTCTTCAGTGTGAAATTTTTCGCAAGGGTAAAGCTGTGCCAGGAAAAGTATTTGATGTTCTTAATGAGGTTGTCATCGATCGGGGTTCTAATCCATACCTTTCAAAAATTGAATGCTATGAGCATGATCGACTTATAACTAAGGTGAGTGTCCCTCATGCTCTACTATGTAATGTACTATCTGTGATGAGAACCAGCAATGTCTTATAAGTCATATCTATAAACACGCACATGAAGCACTTTCAACCCTTCTGAGGGATAATTACCCTGTCCTTCAGGTACAAGGTGATGGAGTCATTGTGGCCACCCCTACAGGAAGTACTGCCTATTCTACAGCTGCTGGAGGTTCTATGGTAAAGCTTGTGCTCCAGCTTTTTTCATAGTTCTACAGATTTTGTGCCTGGTAAAATTAAGATAACTTAATGAGGCTGCTTTTGGTTTTATGATATTTAAAACAATAATAATCTTGTAATCCTCTATTTTCCCCACTACTTTGCAAAGTTCAGCTCATAATGCTGAATGCTTCGTCAGTCACTGCTATCATATCCATAGCTTATGTCATGCGGTATACAGAACTGAATTAGATAAGAAAAAATGATTTTGTTGATAAGAAATTTTTTCTTGTCCTTGAATAAAAAAAATAATAATAAAATGTGCATTTACTTTGAAATAATAAGAATTAAGGATATAATAGATATCACATATTTTGTTTTTCGTGCAATGGAAAGAGATTACCTTTCCAATGCACCAATCTAACGGCCCCTTATCAAGATCATAAACACAGGGAGGCTGATTGAACGGCCCAAACAATGCACTTCAAAGTTGCCATGCTACCTCACAGTGCAGAAAGAGATGGCTATTTATTTCTAACCTTTTATGCACATAAACGGGGGAAATAGCCTTACAAAGAGCATGCATCTGTGACTGATCTTTAGTGTCAGTCCCATTGAGCCCCACAGTCTGAAAGGCTTTCAAGTAGAATTTTTCAAAGCTGAAATTTGAAGAGAAGGACTAGAAACTAGAAATCGTGAAGATTAAATATTTAAATATCTCCCTTCCCTCTTTTCTTTTGCTTGTTTAAATCATCTGGAGTTTATAAATTGTCTGAATGGAGCTAGATGTGCTTAACAGCATGGCAACCATTTTTAATAGATTATTTTGCCCGGCTTCCAAAGTTCCTTTTAATCTCCCACCCCTTTTTATGTTTAACATTAACCTGGGCGAATAGATGTTAACAAATAGTTTGCTCATTGTTAACAGCATGGCAACCGTTTATAAATTGTCTGAATGGAGCTAGATGTGCTTAACAGCATGGCAACCATTTTTAATAGATTATTTTGCCCGACTTCCAAAGTTCCTTTTTATCTCCCACCCCTTTTTATGTTTAACATTAACCTGGGCGAATAGATATTAACAAATAGTTTGCTCATTTTTAATGACATTTTTGCTAATATTTTAAAAGCCTTGCAGCGGCATGATTCAAATATGGTTTTATGACTGGTAATTTTTTTAAAATATAATTTTATCCAATTTCTTTCGCAAGCTTCTCATGGTTTGATGGTAAATTTGACTAGTTTGGAATAGATGATGCTTTGACCTGTTCTCTTAAACTGTTTTCCTTGTTGATTTAATCTAATGACTAAGAAAACTGCAGGTCCATCCAAATGTACCCTGCATGTTGTTTACACCTATATGTCCACATTCACTCTCATTTAGACCAGTTATTCTTCCGGACTCTGCGCGACTTGAATTAAAGGTGAAGTTAAGCATTCTCTATTCGGTAAAAGCATCATATGGGACATCTACATTAAAATTCAATCCTGCTGTTTCTTTGTTCATAATGCATCTTCTATGCCAAAGTAATTTTCCATTTTTTGAGATGCGCTAAGTTGTTTCGGGCATGTGTTGTCAATGCTATGCGGTGAGTGAAGACATAAGATAATTACAAGTATTATTTTTAAGGCTTCAATTCTTTTGTATGATTTAGAATTAGCGGTTAAGGTGTAATTTGATCATTTATGCTTTAGTAATTACTAATTAGGACGTGAGATAATTGGGGTTTACAATTCACAGATTCCAGAAGATGCAAGAAGTAATGCATGGGTTTCATTTGATGGGAAGAGAAGGCAGCAGCTTTCAAGAGGAGATTCTGTCTGTATAAATATGAGTCAGCATCCGCTTCCAACTGTAAACAAGTTTGACCAAACAGGGGACTGGTTTCGTAGCTTGATTCGTTGCCTAAATTGGAATGAAAGGCTTGATCAAAAGGCCCTGTAAACTCTGGATATGAAGAACGTATATGCGTTAGACTCTTGAAAAGATTCTGGGCTCCTGTACAGCCTGTACATTGAGATTACACAACTTAGTTATAGTGGAAATACTAGTTTCTTACATTGGCTTCCCTGATAAAGATGGGATTTGCCCCTGATTTCAATATAGTATCATACTGACAAGATGTTATTGAATACAAAAAAATTTGAAAGACATTAAAACTTGTCTGGGAACACAGCATTAGTGCATCCAAAAAGTTGATAACTATTTGTTGGAGTTACTTTCTCCTTTCTTTCTTTTTCTTTTCAGTAGATTTTGATGGGCCTGTGAGTTTTAATTCATGCAACGAAGTTGAGACATTTAGACAGGCCGAAGCCGAGAACAGTTATTTTTCTCAGCAGGCTGGATTATTATCAAATATGTCATTTGTTGGTCATGATTTTATGACAAGATTGTTAAGGTTTTGGCCCTCTGAACCTTCTGAGCTATTTATTTGTCTGCGGAAGAATCAAGAGTGTTGATGGGGCATCTCGGCCCATGATGATGCCGACGATGGTGCTTTGCCGGTGGAACATAGAATATGTTGGGGTATATTCTATTTGAGAATTTTTTTTGTTGTTGCACAAGTATCATCACAGCCAACAATTATGAGATTAATCTCTCAAGGAATCTGAGCATCATTTAATGGATTGTCTTCTTTCAAGTAATATTTTTCTGTACACACATCCAAAAATTGAAGTTTAGAATGATGTTTAAGGGACTCAAATTGTTACTATCTATGCTATATCCACATGATATTTTTAAGATAGTTATTAGCGTGTGAATTGCGAACACAATCACCAGCCTAAAGTGTAAACAAGGACAAACAGGGAAATTTGTAGACATCCACTTTAAATGGTATTGTTCATGTAATTGCATATTGTAATTTGTACAATAAAAGATACACATGAATTTTCACTATGACATTGAAAATACAAGATACTACTAAATTATAAAAGAAAAGATAAACATTAATGTTTTTTGTTTTTTTGTTTTTGGGTACAGATAAACATTGATATAAATGCACACTATCATTGTTTATTCTGCCTCTTACTAGCTCTTTTCACCCAAATGAAGAGAAATGAAAAAGTAAGGAAAAGCGAAAGTATTACACGGCACGAGTGATGCATTTTTTTTTTTTTTTACTTTTACTTTTACGTTCCTCACACCGCTCGAACGGCTTCAAACCTTGGTTCTTTTGCGAGGAACTTTTGCTGAGCATAGACAGACATGTAATCCCCAAATACGAATTTTGGGTAAGCGCAATCCACTTGTTCGCTCTCTTTCTCCAGCAATTGCGGTGCAGGGCATATGTTAGCTCGCAGCGACGGATTGTAGAAGGAAGCGATCGATCTTCTGTTTCTATCCGGTGTGGCCAGAACCCTATGCCAGCAGCTCTTATACCGACCATTGCTCAACACCTCGATCTGATCGCCAACGTTGATGACTATGGCGTTTTGCAATGGCTGCACGTCAATCCATTGGCCTTCTTTGAGCATTTGAAGGCCACCCACCTCATCATCTTGGAACAGTAGGATGACGCCTCCGGCGTCGGTGTGAGCTCGCAGGCCGTAAATGAGCTCTGGATTGGGGCATGGTGGGTAGTGGCTTACCTTTGTTCCGAAGAAGGCATTGTTTCCATCTCCTCCATTTAATGCCTTCTTCATGTATCCTTTGGGTAATCCCAAGTTCTCCTCCATCACTTCCATCACTTGCTCAGCCAATTTCTTTAGCTCACTTCGATACTCTGCCATGGTTTCCCTGTCATATATATACATATATCCATGTGAACGTTGGCCAGTTAAACTTCTACATTTTTTTTTATTACAAGTTAAGCTTATACATTGAAAACTTGTTTTATGTTATGGATGTACGAGATCTAATTGACTATACTGTTTGCATTTGAAGTTATATTAGAATAGTTTTCTTGCCTTCAAGAAGAGAAAACAGTATTTGGTTGTTTGCATGAAATTATGGATAAAATGAGAAACTGCATGATCATTGGAAGGTCATTGATTTTTCTGTGGGTCTACACACACACACACACACACACCTGAATCCAGTTGTTCTTTTAGGCCATTCATTATCATCCAGGAGAGTGAAGACATCTTCCCAATCCACACCCTGTGACTTCTCACCGCTCTTCTTTTCAACCAATTCGTTGAGCACCTTCACCGGGGTTGAGTTCTTGAAATTTTCCTCTCTTTCCAGTTCATAGCACTCAGAGCATGCCTTCTTCACCCTCTCCAGGAGCTCCTCAGGAATCCCATGGTTGATCAACTGCAAAACTGTGCAATTAATTTTCTGGCGCGTGTAGTAGAATACTCACAAATATGAAGGTCATGCATGTTCTAAATGTAAAGGTAAACTATAAGTACCTGGAAAAACCCCCAATGTTCAAACCCATTGGCGATCTGAGCCATAGTTTTTGCCCTTTCTTCCCCATCGAGCTTTGAGAAATCGATCACAGGGATAGCCATTATTATTTCAGTGAAGGTAACAGAGAGTGATTATATATTTTAGTGGCTTGTTGAAGATAAGGCGCTATTCTTGGTTTTGGTTGATCAAAGAGGCTTATTTGTCTGGTATTTATAGCAAAAGTTTCTCGCCAAGTTGGACGTCAGAGCCATATTATTGGCTGCTTGTTTCAAGAAATCGGCCGTCACAGTTAGATCAGGGACGGTGAAGCTTTGCAATAAATGAATGAAAATGAAAGAGTCAACTCGGTCTCTGAGATACTGCCTGTAGCCGACCGGCACAAGCCCTCCCTTTCCAGGTGACGCATTTCATTCATTAGGATTAAATAGCAAAATAGAACATGAAGTAGCAAAACATGACCTGTATTCTAAACTCTTAAAATATATAAAATTAATTATTTAATATTATAATTATATCATGTGACTTAAAATATTTGATTTTATTTTTAAGTTAAGTAAAAATTTTATATTTATTTTTTATATTTAGATTATTATATATATACAACATGATTGAATCATGCAAATGTTGATCTTCTCTGTTCAATATTCAATTTAGTTTTAAAAATATTATCTATAACTCTGATTTAGTTTTATTTTATTTTAAATAAATATCATAGGATTTTACTGACGATGGATACGGAAGACAATGATTTCATCAACAAATTTAAAACCCAAATTAATCAATTAATTAAAATTATTTAATATTTAAACTTCTTTTTTAATGGGATTCTAAGTTTTCATCATGAAATAAATAAACATTATTTAAAATAAGATTAAATCAAAGTTATAGAGGGCAGAAAATATGAGATGCCAATCGTTTAAAAAATATTACAAAAAAAGGATAAAAAATATTATTTCACAAAATTATGGGTTATTCATCATGGCCAATGATGCATTCATCATAGTGGACCACATTAAGGCTAATTTAATTTACATAATATTCAACTTTTTATACATAAACAGTTGGGATAATTTGTTCGAAATTTAAAAATTCAGGGTTTAGGACATTACTTGTTAATAGCTTAGGGCAATGTTTTTAAAATTGGACTGAATATCAAACTAAAAAAGTTATCAGTTCATGCTTCACATAGTCTAATCAATTGAATCAATAGTCAAACCAATAATATAGTAATAAAATTAAAAAATATTATATATATTTATATAATGATATAAATATAAGAAATAAATATAAAATTATTACATAACTTGAAAATAAAATCAAATATTCTAAATTAATGATAAGTTAACAAGTCACATAAAGCAATATAACATTGAATGGTGAACAAACAGTCAAATAGTCAACAAATGACAAGCTCAATTATTAGAGTTTAATTCACAAACAACATGCATCATGAATAAAATAAAATAAAAAAGGAGATCAATGGGGAAAAAGTAAGGGCACCATTCCTGCACTTCTTATTTTATCTCACAGCATTATGCCTTTCGTGAAAAATCTTTGAAATCGTCACTGCGAGGGCTGGCTAGAGTAGAAATCATTAGATGGAATGGCCATTGCATATAATTAATAGCTTGTCAAGATTTAATTTAACACACACATTCAGCCTCTTGTGGATTACATTCTGCTGGAGTGGCAAATTCTACGGAAACGGTTCTATATAACCAAAGCTAAGTTATATGATTCACAAAAAACACCAATCACCGCAAGCCAAGCTATACAGATATGTTAAAGTCGTAAGCTCAACATCTGAACCTAACCAGGCATCCAGTGATACGAAAGGCATGAACTTGATATTCAGCACAAGACTTTTTCCATTGCAATACTCAAAATAAGGAAAAGCACAACTACATCAAAAATCGAAAGATTTTCGAGTGGATTCTCTGGAGCCAGGAATTGTGATTGGAAGAAAGGACTCGCGAGGGAGGACAATGGCTGGAATTGCAATGGATGACAGCTGAACACATGACGGGCGACTGGTGGAATCACGGCTTCGTGAGTGCAGTAGAGCAGAAGCAAAACTCCGTGTCTTTGGTGCTCTGGTCTTTAAAGTTTAGGATTCATTTTGTGTATTTTAAGAGTTCAGGGTTCATAATATTTTTCGTACGATACTTCAAGGTTCATTTTATTCGTTAATTCTTAGTCTATTCACAGCTTACACATCCTAATTTGATTGATTAATTGATAATTACGATATTGATGTGACATCAGAATTAGTTTTGCAGAAAAACATTGGATATACAAAATATTTTTAAAAGATAAATACTCTTTCCGTTAAAAAATATAAAGTATTTTTAATCTAATTTTACCTCTAATAAAGTAGTTATTTATTTTTAAACTAATCATATTTTTTTGTATTTACCCCTATTTAATAGGGTGTTTCACCCTAAAATAAATATAAAGTATTTATTTAATAGGGATACTTTCAAAAAAAAGTAATGATTACAGCTTAAAAAATTAAAAATACTTTACATTTTTTAACATCCAATCTCTCAAAAAAAGTCTTATATTTTTTAACAGAGAGAGTAGTTCTTTAACTTTTTATCCATTTTTATCAAACATTTAATTTTTTTAAATAAAAATAGATAATTGAGAGTTAAAGCAAGAAAGAATTTTAATTTAAACAATCTAAGTCAAACATAAATAGTTGAAATTTCTTTTGAGAAAAGGATCTCTTGCATGCTTAGCTTCTAACAATGTCGCATATAATCTTTTAAATATGTGGAAGGAGTTTTTTATTTTTTATTTTTTTTTAATGAAAGAGTATGCAGTGTTAAAAATGAATTTTTGTAAAGAGCAGGAGTTGTACACAAGAAAGCGGTTGCCCTTGTTGTAACTCGATCAAGAAGAGTTATAGGAACATGGGATTCGCGAATCTAAGCAAACCATTCACTAATATAGAGATTAAATCTAGACCAAAAAAAATATATATATATATATATATAGAGAGAGAGAGAGAGAGAGAGAGATTAGATCAATAGTTTTAAGTTTGATCATTCTATACGGTTAATATATATGTATTTTCTGCTTTCTGATGTACTAATGGTAGTTTTGCTTAAAGTTCAAATCTCTGCCGACTTTATCTCTTGTGGATCAGGTTAAAGTGCGCACCCACATTGCTTTGTAGTTTGTACTCCTCAATCCCTATTGACTTTTATTCGTGGCATCTTGCGTCTTGACAATTGTCCGTTACTTGATTATTAGAAAAAGTTAACACGACTCAGATTTGAAGGCGTAGTTTTAGGGTTAAGGGAAGGCACGGTCAATACATCAGAGATATGGTAAATCGCAATCGGATTCCTTTAATTTAATACCTCGTCAACTTCTCAAAATTGACATTAAATATAATCTTGTCTTTAATTTATTTAACCGAAGGAAAGGATTTTATATCATGTGCCATGCCAAATCACGATTCACGATCAGAATGATCTGGAAATCGGAAGTAGCAGGGGATCGTCAATTATGCAATCATTGGTTTGATTCCATTTGTCCGAATGTTAGGATGCATTTCTGAGGAAGGAGACGATAATGAAGAACTCGAGCTTACAAGCTTAACTCATTACGTGCTGTCCTTGTACTACTTCACGATGCCATTGTCAGGGATTCAACATTGTTAACATAAATGATGTTTTCCATGATTGCATATATGTTGTATCACTGGCACTGGCATGGTTCTATATGTGATATGGTTTGCAGCTCTCGATCTTTCAAAAAGGGAAATGACATTTAAGGAGAATTTATTACAATAAGGACCTATCAATTTTATATAAGATACATATTGTTTTGTAAAATTATGTATATAATATTCAGTTTTTAATAACAACATATGTGTGTTTTTACAAATGATATCTGATGTAAAATTAATAGGCTTTTATTGCAATAAATTTTCTTGAAAGAGTTTTAAATGTTATTCTTCCTTTTAAAAATCATATCATACATTCTAGCATTTATGTTATGTTTTTTCAAACAAAATTTTTCTATATTACTTAAAAACTTAAAAAAAAAATATTTTGAATGATTGCAGTCTTATAATATTACTTGAGAGATGCTTGTTGTAATCAAAATATTTATACCTATACCTATATCATAAAATTTTAAAATATATATATTATATATATTCCAGTACTCCTATCATGCTAGATGGTATTTGATACATGTACATTTCGAATCTTTTTGGTATAAATATGGATTACAATATTTAATTTGGTGTGGTGTTGTCATTATATGAAGACAAATTTATTGTTCAGTGCAGCGCTGGCGTTCAGATCACAAACTTCAAAGTTCATGCTTGTTTTTTATTCCCTGATATAATAGGCCCTTCCTCTTCTGATTTCCCATGTGGCGGAGGTCAAAACTATGTTGATTTTTTTAAGGTTAGTGAACTCCTTGCTCGTAACTTTGACAAAGTTATTCGTATTGGACATTGCATGTAACTTGGTGGAGTTATCCTGAAAATCTTCATTACTTTCAAATAAATATATAAGGTCCGGTCCAAAATCGTGTTTTCCTATATATATGCAAATCTGAAAATCATATAAATCAATAACAATACAAAGGTTAATATATATATATATATCAATAAAATTTATAACAAATCACACGTTCATAAATTATTATAAACAATGTGCTCTATTTTTTAAAACAAGGGTAATTTACAAGAAAATTCTTTATTGGATGTAATATATATAATACACACACGCACGCACAAATCTTTTCCAGAGTGTTATACTGCAATAACAGCAATACGATACATTCCCCCAGGACAAGGGAGCTGTAGTGTGATGGAATTAGGCCAAATTCATGCATGAGAATACTTACTTACCTTTCCCTTAAATAAATACTGATCCCCTTCAATGCCTTGTTCTTTAAGAAGTGCATGCTGTAATTTTAATTCAGCGATCTCAACAGACCTTTCCCTTAAATAAATACTGATCCCCTTCAATGCCTTGTTCTTTAAGAAGTGCATGCTGTAATTTTAATTCAGCGATCTCAACAGACATACACAGAGAGAAAAGAAGAGGAACACATGGGTTCTGAGCAGACAATGTCTTATTGTAAAAAGCCTATTGGCGACAAGTACTGCAGAGTTGGTCTATAAGGTGTCCTGAACAATGATTTCATTTCTGTTAGTTTGTAACGAAATCTTGTCTCTATTATATTCATTATATCATAATCCTCGCACTATTATTCTGAATTAAATATTTGATGCGAAGTAAGCAGAGCCCTGCAGGGTGGGGTTGTTATTGCCACCTTTTTCGCTGCTCATGTTTCGGTTTTG